GGACACAGTGTGCGTCTGTAATATCCCAGAAATAAACTGTGATGGTTTCTTTACAAATCGGCTCTGATGTGTTGGCATGTAACTTAGTTGCTGAGTAATACTCTTTAAAGTTCTGTTCTTTTACAGTCCCCCTGGAATTCACCTGGAACAGAAGTACTCTTTCTTTACTCAAACCCCAAAGATTTATTCCACACCCACGGCAGGCAAGGCACAGTTCCAAGCACGGACAAGCTAAGAGTTGGTGTTAACCAGAGAAAGTCCTTAACCTCATGGGATCACATTCTAGTTGGGGTCACAAACAAGAAGCACAAATACGTGTTGTGCAGAGAAACCTGCTCTAAAGAAACATAAGGTGATAAACAGAGGGGCCGGCGGTGGGTGCTATTTTAGAGAAGGTGGTCAAAGAAGCCCCTCTAAAGGGTCCATTTGAGCAGATGCCTGCTGAAAAGGAGGGAAGAGCATTCTAGGAAGAAGGAGAGGCCCTCAGGCTGAGGCGTGCCCGATGTCATCAGGGAACAGGAGGTCGGCCAGCCTAGGGCGGCAGAGAGAGGAGCCGAGCTTGGAGGGAGAGCTGGGGAGACCACGCAGGCCGGAGGAGGCAAGCCAAGGACTCTTTCCCTCTTGCAGCTGCCCAGGCGAGGGCCGGATGGCTTTAACGAGGGCTGCAGGCAGGGAGGCATCTGGGGAGAGCAACAGGGTTTGCTGTGGAGCCAGACAGAGATGTGGGGGAACGAGGGGCGTTTGGGTGCCCCCCAGGGACCCGTTGAGCACCAGGGTGAGTGGGGGCAGTGTTCACGGAGGCCGGGAGCTCGGTGGGGGGAAGGGGATTGAGGGGAATCAAGAGTTCAGTTCTGGACAAAGAACAAGTAGGACAAACAAGAAATGAAAAGCGAAATGGTGACCTAGCCCAGCCACATTAGTAACTGTACCAAATAAAGGACAGAGACTGTCAGATAGGATTTTTAAAAAGCAAGAGGCAACTATGTGCTGCCTATAAGAAACCTCTTTAAATATGAAGGCACCAATAGGGTGGGAAAAGAGACCATGCTAATACTGACCAAAAGAAGCTAAAATCAGACCAAGTATATTTTAGAGCAAATAACACCACTGGGAATAAAGAGGGACATTTCAAAATGAAAAAGGGGTCAATTTGTGAAGAGGATACACCAGTGCTATGTCTACACATCTAATAACAGAGCTTCAAAATAACGTAGAACAAAATGGATTTAAGGGCAAGGACAGACAAATGCACGATTATAATCTGAAATTTCGACACTTCTGTCAAGAACTACTTGAACAGGTGGACAGAAAATCAGTCAGGGGTTATTAGACAAACACCGCTCTCGACGGCCTTGGTCCGGTTGGCTTTTCCTAGGACACGCCCCCCACTAGCAGGTGCGGAGTCCTCCGTGCACAGCGGCGGTGACTGCGTGGGGCCAGGGGGGTCGCCAGGAGAGGCAGTGTTGGTAGAACACGAGCGCAGGCTGAGGGCTGAGCGTTCGGTCATCTCGGCCTTCGGGGCTGGTTAGAGGAGAAGGATCCAGCAAAGACGTGGAGGGCCTGGAGGGCCCGCAGACCGCGGGCACCAAAAGCCAGGCGGGCGGGAGCTAAAGGAGAGCGCGCGGAAGGGCCAGCGCTGTCAGGCCGCCAAGCAAGGGGAGGACCGAGACCTGCCGCTGGGGTTGGCCTTGCGGAGGCCGCGGGGACCTGGACAGGCGCCGGGGCCCTGGAACCCGGGGAGGGTCCTGTAGTTCCACTACGCTCGTTTTCAAGGAGTTTTGCTGATCGGGACCCCAAAGAGATGGAGAGGGGCGGAAAGGAGGGGCGGCAGGTTTTCTTTCCTGTCTTTTTAAAGGAAGGATGCGTTTGAGCAGGTTCGGCACCGCTGGGAAGAATCCGGAGGGACAGGGAGAATATCCCGGGGCCGGTCTTGGACATCCAGGGAGCCGTGGCCCAGCCTGGGGCACAGATGCTTCATCGTATCAGCGGCCCTGAGAAGTCTGTCCCTCTGAGAGTGGACAAACCTCTGAACCTTCCCCATGGGCAGAGGGATGTGGCATTTATCTTCTGATCTTTGCCGTTACTCGCTCTGTGACCTGGACTGTGACCCCGAAGACTTCGGGAAGGGGGGCTGGGCACGGCCGGGAGGGGCCTGGGTGTCCGAAGGCTCCGGCGCGCGCCCTCCCCGCACCGCTGGGGGGCGCCAGAGACCGCGCCGCGCCGCCCCGGGGGCCCTTGACTGACCGACCCCCGCCGCCCCAGCCCGGCTCGAGGCCTCGGGGACCGGTGTGGCTCCGGCCTCACTCCACAGGGAACTGAGACAGAAAGGGGGTGGATCTGGGACGTGCTTCCTCAGACCGCGACTAGGAGCCCCGTGCGCCACCGGCGATTGGAGGCCGCGCTGGCAGCGGAAGGACGCGGCCTGGCCGAAGCCGCTGCCGAGGTCAAAATCCAAAATGTGCTCTGTGGCCCGGCCGCGGCGGCACCGCCAGCACCCCATTCCCGGGGGCAAAGCTTTGGCTTCGCAGCCGTTACCAAGCGGCTGCGTTGGGCCAGGCTCCGCGGGCCCTGGGGGTGAGCGCTTGGAATGAATGAGCGAGCGCACCGTGGGTTTCGAAGAAGAGCAGGATCCCAGGCGCAGAGCCCGAGGTGCTGGGCAGCCGGGCTTCTATCGTGCCGCTCCAGGGCCGCTAGAAGGAGAGGTGGGGTGCATGTGAATGAGACTGGGCCCCCAGCTCCGACTGGAGGAACCAACCCCGCGGTGCTTTAGAGGGGTGGGGAACGGGTGCCATCTCCAGCGTGTGCACAGTGCATCACCAATTGCTAATAAATACAAGTGACCTGGCAGCCACTATCATCCCTCAACAACTTAGAATGAGTTCTCTCTCTAGTACCCCGTGCCCACTGCCACTTAAAAGCAGATTGTACTATGGAGGGGAGATGCGAAAGGGGGAATGTGAGTCCCACCCACACCCAGGGTCAACTTGGAGCACCCTGGGGGACAGAATCCTAAGGGGCATCTCACAAGAAGATCCCTCCCCCTTGAATCCTGGGCAGTCTAACCAGCCACCCAACAAAGGAATTGAGAGTGCTTAGCACCCTGTATACAGTAAAGCACTCAATAACAGTTGATCATTCTTATTATATATTAAACACAGCAAACATCTTTAGAAAACAGAAATGCAGGCCGTTTGGGTCAATGTATGAAAATCCTTAGAGATTGATTGTCAGGTTCCTCTGATTTCCATCTTAGAAATAAACACTTTTAATTTTGAGCCTATCTTACAGGGCTGCAAATCCTGGCTCACGGTCGGGTTGCAGATGGTCGAGTCTCCTGGATGCCCTAGTGGCTGCATCTCACAGGCAATGCTGACTCACCGTGCAGGATGCAAGCAGCCTCTCTACCTCTGCTGGGTCACTGCTAGATTTCTGGGTCTCAGACTGTGTGTGGTCAATTCAGAGTTCACCAGCCTACACCTAAAAGATTTTTCTTTTCATCCCTGTTCCTACCCCCAAAGGACATGGTGGGTGTGAGCCCTCTTAGCAGAGTGCCTAGCATTGTGTGAGCATTCAGTGTTAGCTATTGGTGGCATTATTAGTATTCATCACCATTATGAACATAGAACAGACTCATTGAAATTGCTTTATATTTTTCCTTGAAGGTTATTTGATCTGCTTGGGCGTATCACACAAGGGTGTACTGATGGAGGACAGGAGGATGGAGTATTAATCTATCTGCTCTTCCATGACCTCCTTAAAGACAAGAATTATCTGATTAGTCTCCATGTTCTAGCATCCCCTGGGGCTTGGCACTGGGTAACTGAACAAGGCTAAGGATATTCTATGTTCTGCAGTTTTCCAAAGATGATTTGAGAAAATGAGATCATCCCATCATCATTGCACCAATCAGGACTCAGCTCTCTGTGCACTTTGATATAAAAATAACGCCTTTTGCTTCCCTTCCTCCACCCAATTTTAAAAGCAAGTTATGAGTTTGAACTTTCAAAGGCCAATTAATGCCCCTTAAAAGAAACTGTCATCTCTAAACCAAGAATATGGGCAGCCTAGATTCTGGCCCTTATGTCATCTCAGTGTAAGGGAGGTGGTCCAGGAGGATGGGGGTGGGGAGGAGCCCGGGCAGGCAGGCATCTCATCCCTGCCTTGTGAAAACCCAGATTCTGAGGCCCATGAAATGACAGTGCCTGCCCCGACTGCTAGCAGAGCGTCACTGTTCCAGGTGGATGCTTTCACGCAAGTCTGCTCCTGGTTCTCACAACATCCTAGGGGGAATTACTTCGTCATTAGCAACCAGGACCCATAACAGGTTGGCCTTACCCCATAGTTCAGGTGTCATCTCCTGGCATTACCTTACATTGCTCCTACAGTCAGGGCTCCTGGCACAACCCTCAGACTCTCTGCCTTTTTAGAGGTAGTGCCTCTACTGGGGTGTTCCCTCCTCAACCCCCCTCTTTCAGGGCCAGCAATGTGACACTTCCCTTGTGTGCCTGAATACGCCCCTCATCTCCTTCCCCTCTGGAAAACGTCCCCACTCTCCCTATATATATCTAATGACACACATGTCATGATTCTATTTTAGCAGCTAACAGATTGTAGTCATTCATTCATTCAAGGAGAGAACTGGTTAAGTGCTTAGAACATTGTCGGGCACAAGCTAAGTGCTCAAAAAACGTTAGCTCTCATCATTTACACCATTCATTCATTCGTTCGTTCAGTACTTTGAAGTGTCTCAGACCCTGAGCTGTATTCCCTGTCCCTCACCGCCCCCACCCACCCGCGCCAGGGCAAGTTCCTCTCCTGGTGGCGGTTGATGCGGGGACTGCGGCCCCGCCCAACGCCAGGACTGCAAGGTCCAGAAGAGGCGGTGCCGGGCCCGCTCGTGCGCATGCGCGACGTCGTGCCGTCATGGCCAAGCGCGGGCGCTAGTGGCTGCGGCCTTTAGGGCGGGGCGGCGAGAGAGGCCTTTAGGGCGGAGTCGGCACCGCTGGGCTCACTCGGCCGCGGGGTAGCGGACGGTCGGCTTTGCGCGCCCGTTTCTTTCCTCCTTCCGCTCGCTCGCTCTCGCCCAGTCGCGGCCGCCTCCTCACCGCTGCCTGAGGTCGCGAGCGCGGCGCCATGTCGGAGCCCGGGGGCGGTGGCGGCGAGGACGGCTCGGCCGGCCTGGAGGTGTCGGCGGTGCAGAACGTTGCCGACGTGTCGGTGCTGCAGAAGCACCTGCGGAAGCTGGTGCCGCTGCTGCTGGAGGATGGCGGCGAGGCGCCGGCCGCGCTCGAGGCGGCGCTGGAGGAGAAGAGCGCCCTGGAGCAGATGCGCAAGTTCCTCTCGGACCCGCAGGTCCACACGGTCCTGGTGGAGCGCTCCACGCTCAAAGGTGCGGGGCGGGCCGGGGCTGCCGGCGCCCGGGCCACGCGTACCCACGGTCCCCCGCGGCGGCCGGCGCCCCACACCCTGCCAGGCCTGTGCCCGGGTGCCCCTTCCGGGTCGCGGGGACGGACGAGGGTGCCCTGCTTGCCGTCACCCAAAAACAATGGGCTCGCTTTGTCTGCTCAGGCCTCAAGATGGCCGAGTTGGGTGGAGACAGCGTCTCCCCGGCTGAGCGCGGGCGGAGGCCGCATCCCGGCCTCCAATGTCACATGAGCTTTTCGGTTTCGGTTTGTGTCCAGGCCACGCTGGCCTCGGGAGAGATGTATCAGGGGCAGCTTTCTGTCGTCTGGACATAGGGGAGGTCTTGGCGGGGAGGAGCGGGGGACCCTGGCCGGCGGGCATCCCTGCCCCTGCCTGGTGCGGACTCGGATGCCCGGGCCACGGGATGGTAGGCCCGCCTGGGCTGCGGGCCGAGCATCCCCGTTCCAGGTGCATGCGCGCACTCAGGTCGGCCTCCTGGCCTCAGCCCGGCTGAGTGGTGTATCGCCCCGCTTCAGGCGCTAGGAAGCTGGGGCTCAGATGAAGTGACGCGTCAAAAGTCACGCCCTAGACTAGACTTCACATCTGTTTCTAGTCCACTGCTTGTTTTCAATCATTATACCTTATATTCATGCAGTGCTGAGATGATCTTGATGATCCTGTGATATCTGAGTCTACAGATTTAGCAGATTTGGGTTAGGCACCCAGTGGGGGGGCGGGGAAAAGGTTTGCATATTTTAGCAGTCTTCTGAAATAATGACCCCCTCAAAAGTAGAGTTAGATTCCTCTTGACTTTAGGGAGGGCGTCCCCTTGACTCTAAGAAGGCTTGGCAGTCGCCGGTGAGCGTATTTGACAGCGCAGGGATGGATGGGTGTGGCACCTTCCATGTGGGAACCTGGGGATGATGTGCAAATAAATGTTAACGTCAGTACCAAGGGATTGAACATGTTCAAAAAATGTTTGCCAGCAAGGTTGTTGTCATCTCAAAAGGCTGTCTGGTTCTTTAAGTAGGAGAACCTATACTATCTGTCTCACCCCCTCCTTCCCCACACCCCATACACACTTTTTTTCTTTCTGATAGTTTGTTTCTTTTAAAGGTGCCTCATTATACAGTCCGTTTTTTTTGTTTTTTTTTAGATCCACATGTAATGTTCAAAGCAAATACCCACTCGGGTATATTTTACAGTATTAATGTTGTATAGTGTTTTCTGTTATGTTTGGGGTTATGTTTTCCTGCTTGGAAACCACTAGTGTTTAAAAAAAAAATTAAAAGCATCTTCTCTTTTGAAAGGAGCATATAGTCATGGTAGAAAATACACAGATAAAATGAAAATTACCTGGACTCCTTTGACCCAGATGTAACTGCTGTCAGCATTTTGGCAACTCTGTCTTTCTGGTTGTTTTTCAATGAATATACATTATTTTACTAAAATATATTGTTGAAGTGTTGTATTTTGAATAGTTTGGCATTGGCTGATTGTTGATCAGATATTCATTGCACAGTTTATGTATTGAAACAGATGATTTCTAAATTGGGTCTCAATTTATTTTTATGGAAAAAATTGTAAGTTATTTGCTTCTAGAGTGCTCATCAGTAATTATTTTCTCAAACATCTTAGAATTGAACTTGGTAAATAAAGTTATTGGGGTGGGAGAGAACCCTCTTTCTGTAGTTTGCTCTCTGGTGTAAATCATTTCTGTTTTCTTGATTGTACATCTTCTTTCAGCAAAGCTAATATCCAGGCATCTAAATCTTGGCTCCATAATGACTTGCACTTTTGAATGTTGACTAAGGAGTGAGACTGTTGAAAATTGAAATCGTACCTCATTTCTGTATATGTAAAAGTCCCTGAAGTATTTATAGCAGTTCACCCTGTCTGTAATTTATTTTTCACTTAAAAAAAATCTAAGGAAAGACATATATGAGTTCCATCAGTCTTATTAGCATCCTAGCTACACTAGTATAATTTAGATAAAAGTGCAGATCCAGGTCACTCGGTAGGAGGGCTTTCTACTGGGTGGTTTTATGAGTCAGCATCTAGATTTGTACATTTAATCAAATATGAGTATCCAGTAGTTAATTTAGTGAAATGGTAGACTTGCATCATAATATGGAAAACAAATCTGAATTGTTGAAACTGAATACAGACCACCACCAACAATGAAGTCATATAATATTTTAATGAATGGGTGAAATTACTTTTATTTTAACCCTCTCCCTCCTTTTTGGGGGGAAGAATTTTCCAAATACTTGTAACTGAATATAGGAGCATTTTTAACATGAAGACCTATTTATGTATCTATGTAGATATATTTTTCAACTGCCCCAACTAGCTGTAAACATTTTTGTTAAAGTACAGCATTCCTTAAATGTAGAACTTTAAAGGTTGTGAATTTAACAGTCTATTTTGATATTGGAGAATTGGTAGGACAGGAAATATTGACTCACAGCTCCTTGTTTTAAAAAGAGAAATCTCCTTTCTGCAATTCCTGGTCTGTAGAAAATTGTTTTCTTCATACTGTACTTCTAAGATTATGACCAAAGAGGTGTTGACTACTCACTAGGCATTTTACAACGTTAATAACGTTTTGCAGCACTTTTAACCTGAAGTGTACTTTTGCTTGGGTGACAAAGGGAGGAACAGGTACCGGATGCTCCAGTTTGCAGCTGGTGGAACTTGCGTTTCCAGGACTTGTCTGTGCGACCACCTCGTTAGTGACCAGGCTGGGACCAAGCACTCCGGGTTTTGTATTTTTTTACACTCAGGTATCTTAGCCTTGAAACTTTGTCTTTAAGACTGAAAGTAGTGACTGCCTTTAGTCAGTGCTTATCCTAAGGTTGGAATTCTAGTTTTTCCTGAGATATGTAATATAGGGAATTTTAATTTCTCCATTAGTGGACAACAGATGGCTAGAGACTGGAATGTGAAAGAACTCTCCTGGTTTTTATAGTACTCAACTTCTTAGAGATACAGCATTGTGGAAACTTTTATGGAGAATATTTCTGTGGACTTTTAAAAATTATTTTTCTGAGGACTTAATTCCCTAAAGGATATGATGACTAAAATATAATCATTTCTGGCCTTTACTTAGCCCCCCAAATGGGTAACAAAATGATTACTAAATTAACAGGAAGAATTTTCTTTGCTACTGTGCTGTCTTGGAGCACTAGGCCAAGAGTCCATCAAATCAACCTGGGCTCTTACTGTCCTGTGCTGTCACATTGTAGGTTGGACAAACCCCGTCTGCAGCAAGATAAATTTGAATGTGCAGTGAAGCACAGTAAGTGAAATTATGTACGACAAAGGGAAAACAGTCATCACTTCTTTTAAAAAGTATATAGTTAGAAATTCTCTTTATTAGCATCATATGTATCAGGCTGGGAGCAGCAGCAGAGATTCAGTCCAGCTTCCTCTCTGTGGAAATCGAAACTCCAGGATTTTTTTTTTTTTTTTGAGGGGGCATCTCTCATATTTATTGATCATATGATTGTTAACAACAATAAAATTCTGTATAGGGGACTCAATGCACAATCATTAATCAACCCCAACCCTAATTCTCGTCAGTCTCCAATCTTCTGAAGCATAACGAACAAGTTCTTACATGGTGAACAAGGTCTTACATAGTGAATACGTTCTTACATGGTGAACAGTGCAAGGGCAGTCATCACAGAAACTTTCGGTTTTGATTACGCATTATGAACTATAAACAATCAGGTCAAATATGATTATTCGTTTGATTTTTATACTTGATTTATATGTGAATCCCACATTTCTCCCTTATTATTATTATTAGTTTTAATAAAATGCTGAAATGGTAGGTAGATGCAAGATAAAGGTAGAAAACATAATTTAGTGCTATAAGAGGGTAAATGTAGATGATCAGGTCTGTGCCTGTAGACTAAGTATTAATCCAAGCTAGACAAGGGCAACAAAACATCCACGGATGCAGAAGATTTCTCTCAAAACCGGGTGTGAGGTTCTAAGCCTCACCTCTGTTGATCCCCAGTTTCTCACCTGATGGCCCCCCTGCGACTGTGCCTGTCTTAGGTTGTTCCTCCCTTGAGGAATCTTACCCGTCTCTGGCTAACCAATCATCTTCCGGGGCCATACAGGGAAATGTAAAGTTGGCAAGTGAGAGAGAAGCAATATTGAAACTCCAGGATTTTAAGACCCAGTTGGGGAAAAGACATTTTAAGGAGGAGTCTGAAACCTAAAAACTAATTTCTCTGTTCAGTTCCTTGGTATCCATTAAAATAAGAGTGTTTGTTTTCATTTATTTTATACTAGTTATTTCTTTTGAATTAGTGTTAGCCTGAAGTCTTTTGGGCATTAATAACTTACTGGTTTTTTTAATTCCTTATTATCTTTTTTCTGAAAATATAAAAATAAGCCTCGGTATTTATTACGTTAAGTACAAGTATGTGGGTTTTAACCCTCTTCTCACCCCTAACAACATTATCAATGGAAGCCTTCAGGTTGAAGAGAGACCTCAGATCTTTTCAGCATGTTAACCTCCCACCAGAGGAGGGAGTGGCTGTGACAGAGATGCCATAGCCCCTCAGAAGGAAGGCGAAGGGTGGACGGACATGGCAGGTGACAAGATAAAGGCCAGAGATGGGAAAAGGAAATCCAAAGCAACCACATGAGAAAAAAGGGGAGGACATGTATGACAGCGATTGGCCAAAATAATGTGATATTAGCATGTTTCGATTTTAAAAGGGAAAGAAAATGAAAGTTAAAGAGAACCAGGAACATACAGCAAGTAGTTTGGTACTGTGTATGGGCAAAGAAAATGACTGGTTTCATTCGCTGGGTGGAGGAGAGACTTGCCCTGAGGCTGGGAGACATTGGGAGGGAAGAGGGACTGAGGGAGTGACATGGGTGCAGGAGCCAGGCCACCTCACTGGCCCTTTAAACATTTGCTGTGTCCCTTTGCCAGTTGCCCATCCACCAGACTTTGTGAAAACAGCCAGTCTACCTGGGAGAGGTAGTTAGGAGTCATAGGTAATTGAATGTGCATCTTTTGGTATCTCATTAAATGAGGCTTAATTCTCACCTAATTCCCAGTATAATGACACAAGCACTCATAGTTTGAAAATACATTCAACTAGTCTTTCAATAGAGGTTCATGTACAGATTAGTGCTAAATGACGTTTGAACATCTCTAGAAATTCAATAAACTCTCAGAAGTTAACCACAGAAATGTCTGTGGGCCACCGTAGCGTGTACTGATGTGGCTTGCAGCCCAGGGACTCAAGAGGTGGGCCCAGCACTTCTGTACTGGTACTTCAGCATTTTAATAGGTAGTACAGTACTGGTCCATTGTGTACTTAACCAGCAACTTTAGTGGCATTAGGACAGTGATTGATACTTAACTGGCAGTGATACTACTCGATAAAACCTGCAGATTGTGTTTATATATAAGCTTCTAAATATAGAAAGACTAATAGCCTCTGTGTTATTAAGAATTAAATATCAAGTGTCCTCCTCTAAACAGTATTTTAGAGAGTCTCTACAGAAGTGAAATGTCAAATTATTGTTAATTTGGAAGATGTAATAATTTACAGAGAGGCAAAAAGGTTAAATTGTTTGATGGCAGTTTATAAAACAATGTCATAGGTTCTTTATAAAGGAAAGCAGACATACTCAGACTTATTTGATCTCTGTATTTATGGGGAATAAGCATTAGGAAGCTAATCCGAAATGTATTCTATCACTGATCAGTAATGACTTCCATAAATAACTGTCATCAAAAGACGTTAGAATTTTACAAAGCCGCAGAGGATACCTGTTTGCGTCTGCCTGTCTGAGGATCCCGTCTCTGGCGTGTGCGCCCCGAGCCCTGCAGCTGCTGCATTGCAGTGCTCCCAGCGCTGGGCGTTCACAGCCGCACCCAGGCAGCCAGACTCAGCGCGTCGTGCCAGGTTCCTTAACCCTGTCTGCGTGGGGGAGTGCGGGCAGCATGGTCAGATGCTGCGTCTAGTCAGCATGTTTCCTGTGTGATTTTTTATTTTTGTTAGGTAATGAATCTTTAGGAGGAAGAAATGATTTAAAGTTAACATACCATATTTTTAGCTATGTCAGTAATTTCCTTTGGTGATTATTTTATTTTCTGTATATTGTTTGGGTGTTAATAACATTTTATGTAAATCATAGAATATTATGGAAAGTTCAGAAAATTGAGAGAGAATATATTTTCATGATCCCAACCCTGACAACTGTTTTAATTTGGGGGTATTTCCTTACATTATTTGTTCATGTTCTTGCATTTACATGTTGTAATCATAACGTGTGGTTGGTGTCAGGCTTTAGGCTTTATCTTATGTCGCATCCATGTTTCCATAGTTAGAATGCTCAGTGGATGGATTTGTTTAGTTGGTTTTTGTGTGTGTCATTTTTGTTTGTCTTGTTTTTTGTTAGTCACCTTTTGAAAACAAATAGGAAGTGCTGCCAATTCCTCCTCCCCTTCCTAAAATTATACTAAAAACTATTTTGGAAGAGTTTTGTAACATTTTATACTCCTTTATTATGAATTTTCTGTTTGTCTCAGCTTTAAGTTTCTGAACCAGACAGCTTTTGCTCGGACCCTATACAGCCAGATTTCATAGTTTCTTGTACTTGGAGTAATATTTTATACCACCTAATTACCTAATTTAATACCTCATTCCTCCTCTGCTGTCTGTTTTATATTTCATGAATTTGAAGCACACAGAAGAAAAATGGCTTTCCCAGGATCACTTGGATAAGTGTTACCTTTGCTATTACATCACAGCTAAAAGTAAAGGTGTGCCGTGCATATCATGTTAAATTAATCCTTGAGTAGTAATTTTTGTTAGTGCAGGTATTTCATATAATATGTCACTGCAAAGGTAAATCAACTGGCGTGCTTAGGCATCTAGTGGGTTAGTACTAGATCTAGAGGGTTTGGATTCTTTCCCAGTCTTGACAAATTTTTCATTTTAATTTTTCAATTTTGATTTTTTACTATTTAGAAATTTTGTTCACGTGCATCTTGAGCTGTCTTACTGTTAAATTCCAGTAAGCTTTTTACAATGACTACTGTGCTTGTTGTTGCTGTGTGGGACCCAGCATGGTCCCTGTCCTGCAAGAGGTCGTATTGGAAAGGAAGAGGCATTCATGGATCCCCCAGCAGGCTCTCCAAGTGCTGTGGGGGCAGAGGGGACGGCTAGGTCTCGATGACCCTGAGGATGTTTCTTGATGGCAGTTTTCTTGATGGGCGTTTGCTCTGGGGGTGGCCTTGGCAAGGGAGTGGGGTAGTCTGTGTACTGGTGAGGACCCGGCTTTGGAATCACAAACGTCTGAATTCTCAGTTTGTCCCCTTCCAGCCATGTATCAGAGGGCAGTTTACTTACATTCCTTACCTGGAAAACAAGGATAATAATAGTCACGCCAACCCCCACAGGGTTGTTGTGAGGGTTTAATGTATGGCGTATTTGAAGTACTTAGTAAAATGCCTGTCACGTAGTAAGTGTTGAATAAACAACCTATATATACCATATACGTATGACGCTGGGTGGGGAGTGGGGAGTGACTGCTGTGTTTGGGGCACAGTGGATGAAACTGCCGGGAGGGGTAGTGAGCGGCCCAGGGCCAGGCCCTGCTCTAAAGGCTTCATAGGTGTCAGTTCGTTCATCCTTCCAACAACCCAGACACACCAGTGTGTTGGATCTACAGACAACCAAACACAGGTGTGGAAAAGTTAACCACCTTGCTCAAGATCACACAGCAAATATGTGCCCAGGTCAGGAGTCAAAAAAAAAATAAGTAGTAAGGAAAAAATAGGTAAAGCCAAGTCATCACGGGATTTAAGTGTTAGTTTGAGGTGGGGTGAGGCTAACGTTCTCTAAGCATTTGATAAGTCAAAAATTGGAAATGTTGGTATGAATTTGATATAGTATTTATTATGATTTGTAGAGGATGTTGGTGATGAAGGAGAAGAAGAAAAAGAATTCATTTCTTATAACATCAACATAGACATTCATTATGGAGTGAAGTCCAATAGGTGAGTAGCATGGTACACTATTATCCCAGGTTATAAACATGTGAGAATTAAATGTAAATCTTAATTGACTCAGATGAAGTCATTGAGAAAACACTCTGCTCTTTAAATTCAGTATCTTATCTTTCATTTCAAGTATTCAAATTAAGAGGTTTTCTGAGTCAATATAAGTTCTGAAATATTTTAATTGCCATATTATGACATCCATTTTAGGTTTGAGCCATAATGTACTTAACGTATCTAATAGTACTCTCAGATTATATCAAATTTTCATTATTACAAATAACCAGTAAATGTTCTTAGATATGGGCCTGATGCTTTTTAGTATAAATCCCTAAAGAGAGCGGTACTGGTTCCGAGGCAGCATGTCATTAAGGTCTTCAGTGTATGGTGCCAGATTTCCCAACCTCTAGAAAGGTGGTGCCAGTTAATAGTGCCAGTTGACAACCCAATAGACATATCCAAACTTAAATATGTAAATGTTTAACTTATTCTGCATTGGCCTTTTAAAACTTTATTTTAAATAATTGCAAACTTACAGAAGAGTTGCTTGGGTAGTATGGAGAACTCCCAGATTCCCAGTAACATTAGCCACATTGGCGTTTTCATATTTTTCCTGAGCTATTTGATAGTTAGTTATATATAGACAACCTGTCCCTTATCCCCAAACACTTCAGTGTATTTCCTAAGAACAAGGACATTCTCACTCATAGCCCCCATACAGCTTTCAATTCAGGAAATTTTGGTACAGTAGTACTTTCTATGTATGATACATATTTAAATTGCCCCTTAGAGTAATTCTTCAGTATCCAGAACGTAGTTCTGTGTATTTCCTTCTGTGTCAGCCATTCTGTATTTTGTGACATTGATATTTTTTATAAATACCAGTGGTTTTATGGAAGACCCCTTAGTTGGGTTTGCCTGGTGTTTCTCCATTTAGATTCAGGTTGTGCATTCTTGGCAGCAAAACTGTTGCAAACTGTTCCCTGTCCATGTGTCACATCAGGAAGCTTCCTTGACCTTTTAGAGCAATAGGAAGTGTTACATATAAAGTACTGGCCTGGGAACTAGAAAATTTAATCATTAATTTTCTTGAAGCTATTAATTCAGCCACCTTTGAGCACCTGTTAGGTGTAAGACATGGCAATAGGTACCCAAAGAAATAAAACTGGTGGGTTCCTGTTGCCAAGAATCCTATAATCTTATGGGAGGAAGATTGGTAGATGACACAACTAAGTGTATATTTGGCAGAACTTAGAGGTGCAGAATATCATGAGAACAGAACCCAGATTGCTTCTGGTTAGGGAAGGCCCCAAGGAAGAAGTAATGCTGACCTGGGTTTTGAGGGTTCCTTGGAGTTGCAGCAGATAAATATAGATTTCTTAAGCAAAGATACAGAAGCACATAATGTTTAGAAAATGGGACATCTAGTTCAAGTGGTGTTTCAGGGTGGTGAAGGGATTGTGTAGCAGGAGCTGTAACTGGAAGAGTTGGTTTAGGCCAGGCAGGGCAAGCCTGGAATGCCCTCTTGTCACTTGAACCTATGGGTGACTTTGATTTATTCAAGCTGATATGTGACTTGTTGCCATAAGTGAAATGGTGCAAATTAGTTTAAGATCAAATTTAAGTGTATCATGCCTTGTGACTAGCAGTTGCTAGGCAGGTTAGTTTTAGTGAGGCCAAGATTATGAACTCAACCCATAAATGAGACAATTACCTGCCTGTTTCTATGGTCACATGCTATAGCCTTAACCCTGATGTATGTGATAGTTATGTGAGTGAGTAAAAAAGATAAGCAATGTATTTTACTATTAGAAAAGCAACCCTTTAGTCTGTTCTTTATATGATTTTTAAATTACAACATTTCAATGAATTTTTAATTTGTATCCAACACAAAGATGGCTGCACTTACAAAGACTGATTGGGAATGAGCCTGCTGTTAATTTCTTGCTCTGCTTTCTTTCAGCTTGGCGTTCATCAAACGTGCTCCAGTGATTGATGCTGACAAACCAGTGTCTTCTCAGCTCCGAGTCCTCACGCTTAGTGAAGACTCGCCATACGAAACCTTGCATTCTTTCATTAGCAATGCCGTGGCTCCTTTTTTTAAGTCCTATATCAGAGAGTCTGGCAAGGCAGACCGGTAAAGGCCATCTTCCTTCATTGGTTTGAATGTCTTATTTCACTTAGCGATTATAAGTTGGGAGTGAATGATGATATAGAATTCAGGAATTGGGAGGATGAAGCTAGTAAACCACGAGGATATAAATCCATTGCATTAATAAAATGTATATTATTAATTTGACGGACCTGAAATAATAAACTCTTTGGAGACCAACAGCACTCTAAAGGTTGAGGTGTTTCCTGTCTTCTTAGGGATGGTGATAAAATGGCTCCTTCAGTTGAAAAAAAGATTGCAGAACTTGAAATGGGACTTCTTCACTTGCAGCAAAATATTGAAATTCCAGAGATCAGCCTGCCAATCCACCCAATTATTACAAATGTTGCAAAACAGTGTTATGAACGTGGAGAAAAGCCCAAAGTTACAGACTTTGGGGATAAGGTTGAGGACCCAACTTTTCTCAATCAATTGCAATCTGGAGTTAACCGCTGGATCCGAGAAATTCAAAAAGTAAGAGTGTAGAAACTATCGTGTAAAATGTTTTACTCTTTATTTAATCTCTGTGAGAAAACTGATGTGAGCTTTTGTCGGTGAGGTAAATCCCGTGATGGCTGTTAGCAGTGCCTCTGCTTGGTCCCAGCGCTGCTCCCCGGAGGGCGGGCCGTGGCCTGGGGGGGCGTCAGAGTGCAGTGTGAGCCTGTGCAGATACTCACCCTGAGAGAGCGCTAATCTCAACTGCCTCATACCTTTGAGTTCAAATTAAACCACTTATAATTTGTAGGGAAAGAAATCGACTTGAAATGTAAAAGTTAAGTTGGAGTTCATGTGTAGAGTTAATGACAATTTTTCTACCTTTGCTTAAATAGTGACTACTCTTGAATGCTGTTTTACCTTTAAAGGTGACCAAACTTGATCGAGATCCTGCCTCAGGAACTGCCTTACAGGAAATTAGCTTTTGGCTTAACTTGGAACGTGCATTATACCGCATACAAGAGAAACGAGAGAGCCCAGAAGTTCTCCTTACTCTGGACATCTTGAAACACGGCAAACGTTTTCATGCCACCGTCAGTTTTGACACTGACACAGGTACAAGCTAGAATTACTGATCTTATCAAGAAGTTATTGATCTGGCCTTTTGTGAGATATTTCAGATAATATAAATGAGAAGTAATAGATGTAGCGGCTTCCCTGTTTCCTCTCTTGCATCTTGTCTCCTCTTTCCCCCAGTTCTGTGTAATGAAAGTGACCTTCCCACATGCCTCTGTCCCTTCAGGGTTTTGAGAACATACACCAGTTTCTAGGCCTGATATCGAGCATCCTGGGAGTTTCCCTTCTATTTCTTGGTTCCAAGAGTAGGTTTTTTTATACTTCTTCAGTATAAAGTCAAGTCTGCTTTTGACAGTCCAGGTGGGAAAATGGCTTACATTAAGCAGAAGTTACCTGCCCACAGGGCTGTGGAAGGACAGCTGGTCAGTAGATTCTCTTCCTCTTTTTAATTGCCACTTTCCATTCTGAGAAGTGGTCAAGATAAATTTAGTTTCTGAATGGGCAACAGTGTGGGTGGTGCTTCATTAGCACACACTCGGCACACAGATGTTTGAGTGACCAGGTGTGGTTAGGAATTTCTCTATAACTCTGTGTCCTCAAGAGACCATTAGAATAAGTAATTAGGACTGCAGTCATTGTCAAGTTCTCTTTCTTCCGCTCCAAAAAAGGTGCAGTGCCACATTGTAAATCTTAAAAGAAACTCCAGGTAGGAACTTTCCAGTTACTTTGATCACATTGCACACATTAGCTGGCCCTCGATAATGGTGAAATGTACACCTTGGATTTTTTTTTTAATACCTCTGAAATCTTAATTTCTTTCCTAGTACTTTTTTTTTTTAAATCTTTTGCCAGAGGAAGCCAAAAAACAGATTAGGACTCAGGTACATCTGTGATTCCAAGCCTACAACACTCACCTAAATTGAGCCATGGGTATAAAATATAAATTTTAGTGTTTTTAAAGATGGTAAAGTGCTAGTTTTTGAAACTTTGTTGTTATTAGTAGAACCTTTAGGTAATAAAGCAAAAAAGATGAAATCCAAGGACCTTTAGAGCATGCATATTCTTAAAATAGCAAAAATGAGACCACACTAGGATCATTATAATAATAACATGTTCGTTTTTCAAATATTATAGTATCTGTGTCACTTATCTTTTGCAGCATCAAAACTTTCCACTGCAAAGATATATTTCAGTTTACTCATCCAGTATTATGCCTATAAGGAATATCCTTTTAGGTGTATTACCTTTTTTAAATTGAGGAATAATGTACAGAGTGTAGTTACATTACTTTACATGAAAACCACTAACTGTTTCTCTGTTAATCTAGGTCTAAAACAGGCTTTGGAAACTGTGAATGACTACAATCCTCTGATGAAAGATTTTCCTCTGAATGATTTACTGTCTGCCACTGAGCTGGACAAAATAAGACAGGCGCTTGTTGCAATTTTCACCCATTTTAATTTTTCAATTTTGATTTTTTACTATTTAGAAATTTTGTTCACGTGCATCTTGAGCTGTCTTACTGTTAAATTCCAGTAAGCTTTTTACAATGACTACTGTGCTTGTTGTTGCTGTGTGGGACCCAGCATGGTCCCTGTCCTGCAAGAGGTCGTATTGGAAAGGAAGAGGCATTCATGGATCCCCCCAGCAGGCTCTCCAAGTGCTGTGGGGGCAGAGGGGACGGCTAGGTCTCGATGACCCTGAGGATGTTTCTTGATGGCAGTTTTCTTGATGGGCGTTTGCTCTGGGGGTGGCCTTGGCAAGGGAGTGGGGTAGTCTGTGTACTGGTGAGGACCCGGCTTTGGAATCACAAACGTCTGAATTCTCAGTTTGTCCCCTTCCAGCCATGTATCAGAGGGCAGTTTACTTACATTCCTTACCTGGAAAACAAGGATAATAATAGTCACGCCAACCCCCACAGGGTTGTTGTGAGGGTTTAATGTATGGCGTATTTGAAGTACTTAGTAAAATGCCTGTCACGTAGTAAGTGTTGAATAAACAACCTATATATACCATATACGTATGACGCTGGGTGGGGAGTGGGGAGTGACTGCTGTGTTTGGGGCACAGTGGATGAAACTGCCGGGAGGGGTAGTGAGCGGCCCAGGGCCAGGCCCTGCTCTAAAGGCTTCATAGGTGTCAGTTCGTTCATCCTTCCAACAACCCAGACACACCAGTGTGTTGGATCTACAGACAACCAAACACAGGTGTGGAAAAGTTAACCACCTTGCTCAAGATCACACAGCAAATATGTGCCCAGGTCAGGAGTCAAAAAAAAAATAAGTAGTAAGGAAAAAATAGGTAAAGCCAAGTCATCACGGGATTTAAGTGTTAGTTTGAGGTGGGGTGAGGCTAACGTTCTCTAAGCATTTGATAAGTCAAAAATTGGAAATGTTGGTATGAATTTGATATAGTATTTATTATGATTTGTAGAGGATGTTGGTGATGAAGGAGAAGAAGAAAAAGAATTCATTTCTTATAACATCAACATAGACATTCATTATGGAGTGAAGTCCAATAGGTGAGTAGCATGGTACACTATTATCCCAGGTTATAAACATGTGAGAATTAAATGTAAATCTTAATTGACTCAGATGAAGTCATTGAGAAAACACTCTGCTCTTTAAATTCAGTATCTTATCTTTCATTTCAAGTATTCAAATTAAGAGGTTTTCTGAGTCAATATAAGTTCTGAAATATTTTAATTGCCATATTATGACATCCATTTTAGGTTTGAGCCATAATGTACTTAACGTATCTAATAGTACTCTCAGATTATATCAAATTTTCATTATTACAAATAACCAGTAAATGTTCTTAGATATGGGCCTGATGCTTTTTAGTATAAATCCCTAAAGAGAGCGGTACTGGTTCCGAGGCAGCATGTCATTAAGGTCTTCAGTGTATGGTGCCAGATTTCCCAACCTCTAGAAAGGTGGTGCCAGTTAATAGTGCCAGTTGACAACCCAATAGACATATCCAAACTTAAATATGTAAATGTTTAACTTATTCTGCATTGGCCTTTTAAAACTTTATTTTAAATAATTGCAAACTTACAGAAGAGTTGCTTGGGTAGTATGGAGAACTCCCAGATTCCCAGTAACATTAGCCACATTGGCGTTTTCATATTTTTCCTGAGCTATTTGATAGTTAGTTATATATAGACAACCTGTCCCTTATCCCCAAACACTTCAGTGTATTTCCTAAGAACAAGGACATTCTCACTCATAGCCCCCATACAGCTTTCAATTCAGGAAATTTTGGTACAGTAGTACTTTCTATGTATGATACATATTTAAATTGCCCCTTAGAGTAATTCTTCAGTATCCAGAACGTAGTTCTGTGTATTTCCTTCTGTGTCAGCCATTCTGTATTTTGTGACATTGATATTTTTTATAAATACCAGTGGTTTTATGGAAGACCCCTTAGTTGGGTTTGCCTGGTGTTTCTCCATTTAGATTCAGGTTGTGCATTCTTGGCAGCAAAACTGTTGCAAACTGTTCCCTGTCCATGTGTCACATCAGGAAGCTTCCTTGACCTTTTAGAGCAATAGGAAGTGTTACATATAAAGTACTGGCCTGGGAACTAGAAAATTTAATCATTAATTTTCTTGAAGCTATTAATTCAGCCACCTTTGAGCACCTGTTAGGTGTAAGACATGGCAATAGGTACCCAAAGAAATAAAACTGGTGGGTTCCTGTTGCCAAGAATCCTATAATCTTATGGGAGGAAGATTGGTAGATGACACAACTAAGTGTATATTTGGCAGAACTTAGAGGTGCAGAATATCATGAGAACAGAACCCAGATTGCTTCTGGTTAGGGAAGGCCCCAAGGAAGAAGTAATGCTGACCTGGGTTTTGAGGGTTCCTTGGAGTTGCAGCAGATAAATATAGATTTCTTAAGCAAAGATACAGAAGCACATAATGTTTAGAAAATGGGACATCTAGTTCAAGTGGTGTTTCAGGGTGGTGAAGGGATTGTGTAGCAGGAGCTGTAACTGGAAGAGTTGGTTTAGGCCAGGCAGGGCAAGCCTGGAATGCCCTCTTGTCACTTGAACCTATGGGTGACTTTGATTTATTCAAGCTGATATGTGACTTGTTGCCATAAGTGAAATGGTGCAAATTAGTTTAAGATCAAATTTAAGTGTATCATGCCTTGTGACTAGCAGTTGCTAGGCAGGTTAGTTTTAGTGAGGCCAAGATTATGAACTCAACCCATAAATGAGACAATTACCTGCCTGTTTCTATGGTCACATGCTATAGCCTTAACCCTGATGTATGTGATAGTTATGTGAGTGAGTAAAAAAGATAAGCAATGTATTTTACTATTAGAAAAGCAACCCTTTAGTCTGTTCTTTATATGATTTTTAAATTACAACATTTCAATGAATTTTTAATTTGTATCCAACACAAAGATGGCTGCACTTACAAAGACTGATTGGGAATGAGCCTGCTGTTAATTTCTTGCTCTGCTTTCTTTCAGCTTGGCGTTCATCAAACGTGCTCCAGTGATTGATGCTGACAAACCAGTGTCTTCTCAGCTCCGAGTCCTCACGCTTAGTGAAGACTCGCCATACGAAACCTTGCATTCTTTCATTAGCAATGCCGTGGCTCCTTTTTTTAAGTCCTATATCAGAGAGTCTGGCAAGGCAGACCGGTAAAGGCCATCTTCCTTCATTGGTTTGAATGTCTTATTTCACTTAGCGATTATAAGTTGGGAGTGAATGATGATATAGAATTCAGGAATTGGGAGGATGAAGCTAGTAAACCACGAGGATATAAATCCATTGCATTAATAAAATGTATATTATTAATTTGACGGACCTGAAATAATAAACTCTTTGGAGACCAACAGCACTCTAAAGGTTGAGGTGTTTCCTGTCTTCTTAGGGATGGTGATAAAATGGCTCCTTCAGTTGAAAAAAAGATTGCAGAACTTGAAATGGGACTTCTTCACTTGCAGCAAAATATTGAAATTCCAGAGATCAGCCTGCCAATCCACCCAATTATTACAAATGTTGCAAAACAGTGTTATGAACGTGGAGAAAAGCCCAAAGTTACAGACTTTGGGGATAAGGTTGAGGACCCAACTTTTCTCAATCAATTGCAATCTGGAGTTAACCGCTGGATCCGAGAAATTCAAAAAGTAAGAGTGTAGAAACTATCGTGTAAAATGTTTTACTCTTTATTTAATCTCTGTGAGAAAACTGATGTGAGCTTTTGTCGGTGAGGTAAATCCCGTGATGGCTGTTAGCAGTGCCTCTGCTTGGTCCCAGCGCTGCTCCCCGGAGGGCGGGCCGTGGCCTGGGGGGGCGTCAGAGTGCAGTGTGAGCCTGTGCAGATACTCACCCTGAGAGAGCGCTAATCTCAACTGCCTCATACCTTTGAGTTCAAATTAAACCACTTATAATTTGTAGGGAAAGAAATCGACTTGAAATGTAAAAGTTAAGTTGGAGTTCATGTGTAGAGTTAATGACAATTTTTCTACCTTTGCTTAAATAGTGACTACTCTTGAATGCTGTTTTACCTTTAAAGGTGACCAAACTTGATCGAGATCCTGCCTCAGGAACTGCCTTACAGGAAATTAGCTTTTGGCTTAACTTGGAACGTGCATTATACCGCATACAAGAGAAACGAGAGAGCCCAGAAGTTCTCCTTACTCTGGACATCTTGAAACACGGCAAACGTTTTCATGCCACCGTCAGTTTTGACACTGACACAGGTACAAGCTAGAATTACTGATCTTATCAAGAAGTTATTGATCTGGCCTTTTGTGAGATATTTCAGATAATATAAATGAGAAGTAATAGATGTAGCGGCTTCCCTGTTTCCTCTCTTGCATCTTGTCTCCTCTTTCCCCCAGTTCTGTGTAATGAAAGTGACCTTCCCACATGCCTCTGTCCCTTCAGGGTTTTGAGAACATACACCAGTTTCTAGGCCTGATATCGAGCATCCTGGGAGTTTCCCTTCTATTTCTTGGTTCCAAGAGTAGGTTTTTTTATACTTCTTCAGTATAAAGTCAAGTCTGCTTTTGACAGTCCAGGTGGGAAAATGGCTTACATTAAGCAGAAGTTACCTGCCCACAGGGCTGTGGAAGGACAGCTGGTCAGTAGATTCTCTTCCTCTTTTTAATTGCCACTTTCCATTCTGAGAAGTGGTCAAGATAAATTTAGTTTCTGAATGGGCAACAGTGTGGGTGGTGCTTCATTAGCACACACTCGGCACACAGATGTTTGAGTGACCAGGTGTGGTTAGGAATTTCTCTATAACTCTGTGTCCTCAAGAGACCATTAGAATAAGTAATTAGGACTGCAGTCATTGTCAAGTTCTCTTTCTTCCGCTCCAAAAAAGGTGCAGTGCCACATTGTAAATCTTAAAAGAAACTCCAGGTAGGAACTTTCCAGTTACTTTGATCACATTGCACACATTAGCTGGCCCTCGATAATGGTGAAATGTACACCTTGGATTTTTTTTTTAATACCTCTGAAATCTTAATTTCTTTCCTAGTACTTTTTTTTTTTAAATCTTTTGCCAGAGGAAGCCAAAAAACAGATTAGGACTCAGGTACATCTGTGATTCCAAGCCTACAACACTCACCTAAATTGAGCCATGGGTATAAAATATAAATTTTAGTGTTTTTAAAGATGGTAAAGTGCTAGTTTTTGAAACTTTGTTGTTATTAGTAGAACCTTTAGGTAATAAAGCAAAAAAGATGAAATCCAAGGACCTTTAGAGCATGCATATTCTTAAAATAGCAAAAATGAGACCACACTAGGATCATTATAATAATAACATGTTCGTTTTTCAAATATTATAGTATCTGTGTCACTTATCTTTTGCAGCATCAAAACTTTCCACTGCAAAGATATATTTCAGTTTACTCATCCAGTATTATGCCTATAAGGAATATCCTTTTAGGTGTATTACCTTTTTTAAATTGAGGAATAATGTACAGAGTGTAGTTACATTACTTTACATGAAAACCACTAACTGTTTCTCTGTTAATCTAGGTCTAAAACAGGCTTTGGAAACTGTGAATGACTACAATCCTCTGATGAAAGATTTTCCTCTGAATGATTTACTGTCTGCCACTGAGCTGGACAAAATAAGACAGGCGCTTGTTGCAATTTTCACCCATTTGAGAAAGATCCGAAACACAAAATATCCCATTCAGAGGGCACTGCGTTTGGTGGAGGCAATTTCAAGAGACTTGAGCTCTCAATTACTCAAAGTGTTGGGCACTAGAAAATTGATGCATGTTGCTTATGAAGAATTTGAAAAAGTATGTGTTAATATATCAGAAAACCAACCTCAGGGTATTGAGAAGCAACTATGTTTAATAATAAGCTTCCTTTCTTAAATTATACCCTAGGTTATGGTCGCATGCTTTGAAGTTTTTCAGACTTGGGATGATGAATATGAGAAACTTCAGGTGTTGTTAAGAGACATCGTCAAAAGAAAAAGGGAAGAAAATCTGAAGATGGTGTGGCGAATCAACCCTGCTCACAGGAAGCTCCAGGCTCGCCTGGACCAGATGAGAAAATTCAGACGCCAGCACGAGCAGCTGAGAGCTGTCATTGTCAGGGTCCTGAGGCCGCAGGTATGAATCAAATTCTGAACATTTATGCAGGTATTGTTTAAATGCCTTTATCCCCAGACCCCCCCTTTTTTTCAGAATTAGAATTAACTACTTTTTTCTTTTTTGTACTGTTTTCATCTTGTCACTGTCATGTTTAAGGTCTAGTGATACTGCATTACATCATTTCCACCCAAGCCTGTAATATTCTCCATCCAATTATTCCTGCCCCCAAATTGCATGGGCCCTAGGCCAGACTTCCTGGGTTTGAAGACCTAATTTCACCGTTTTTAAATAATTATGTGATTTGAGCACATTACTTAACCTCCCCAGAATCCTCATCTACAAATGTAAATAATAACTGCATATGCCTGAGATTTATTAAAAGAATCAGATGGCTCCTTTCATTGTACATACTTTTTTTCTACGCTCAATTCACCACTTCTTTTCTTCCTTTAAATAATCCAGTCCAGAAGTAGAATGTGGATTGATAGATGACGTAGAGAAACTGATAAATGGGTAGATGTATGTTAAAGCCAATGGATAGCAATTATTAATTGGCTGATGCTAATTATCGACTCTAGATGGGGGTACATAGGTGTTCAGTCTGTAATTCTGTAGTTCTTCCAGCCCTCCTGTAGTTGGAAAATTTTTGTAATAAAATGTTACAGGGATTCAGTCTAAAAATTGTGCCACCGAGGAAGCTCTCGCTACTGATTGGGAGTGCCTACTATTTGGGGTAAATTGTTAATAATGAACCACCCTCAGCATCTTTTTACTCAGTGTCATGCTGATGTGTATGTGTGTGTGTCTGTTGGTTTTAAATGTTAACCCTTTATACACAAGCAGTTGGAAACTAGTGCTGATTCCTTCTGGCATGAGGTTTCTCTCTTTGCCATATACCTGTTCTCATACATCAAATTTTTTTTTTTGACTTTTTATTAAGGTATCATTGATACACAGTGTTACAAAGGTTTCACATGAGCAACATTGTGGTTACTACATTCACCCATATTATCAAGTCCCCCCGCCAGCATCCCATTGCAGTCCATCAGCGTAGGAAGATGCCATAGAGTCACTACTTCTCTGTGCTGTCCTGCCTTCCCCGTCCCCACTCCCTACATTATGTGTGCGAATCGTAATGCCGCTTAATCCATTTCTCCCTCCCTTCCCACCCACCCCCCATCCCTTCCCTTTGGTAACCTCTAGTCCCTTGAAGTCTGTGAGTCTGCTTTTGTTTTGTTTCTGCAGTTTTGCTTGTTGTTATACTTCACAAATAAGTGAAATCCTTTGGTGCTTGTCTTTCACCGCCTGGCTTATTTCACTGAGCATAATACCCTCTAGCTCCATCCATGTTGCTGCAAATGGTAGGATTTGTTTTCTTCTTATGGCTGCATAATATTCCATTGTGTATATGTACCACGTCTTCTTTATCCATTCATCTACTGATGGACACTTGGGTTGCTTCCATATCTTGGCTGTTGTAAATAGTGCTGTGATAAACATGGGTGCATCTGTCTTTTTGAATCTGGGATCTTGTGTTCTGTGGGTAAATTCCTAGGAGTGGAATTCCTGGGTCAAATGGTATTTCTATTTTTAATTTTTTGAGGAACCTCCATTATACTTTCCACAATGGTTGAAATAATTTACATTCCCACCAGCAGTGTAGGAGGGTTCCCCTTTCTCCATGTCCTCACCAGCATTTGTTGTTCCTTGACTTGGATGTTGGCCATCCTAACTAGAGTGAGATGATATCTCATTGTGGTTTTAATTTGCTTTTCCCTGATAATTAGCGTTGTGGGGCTTTTCATGTGCCTGTTGGCTATCTGAATTTATTCCTTACAGAAGTGTCTGTTCATATCCTCCACCCATTTTTTAATCGGGTTATTTGCTTTTTGGATGTTGAGGCATGTGGTTCTTTATATATTTTGGATGTTAACTCCTTGTCGGATATGTCATTTACAAATATATTCTCCTATACTGTGGGATGCCTTTTTGTTCTACTGATGCTGTCCTTTGCTGTACAGAAACTTTTTAGCTTGATATAGTCCCATATGTTCATTTTTGCTTCTGTTTCCCTTGCCCGAGAAGATTGTTTAGGAAAAAGTTAGTCATGTTTATATTCAAGAGATTTTTGTCTATGTTTTCTAATAAGACTTTTATGGTTTCATTACTTACATTCAGGTCTTTGATCCATTTCGAGTTTACTTTTGTGTACAAAGTTAGACAGTAATCCAGTTTCATTCTCTTACATGTAGCTGTCCAGTTTGCCAAGACCAGTTGTTGAAGAGGCTGTGATTTCCCCATTGTATATCCATGGCTCTTTTATTGTATATTAATTAATCATATATGCTTGGGTTTATATCTGGGCTCTCTATTCTGTTCCACTGGTCTATGGGTCTGTTCTTGTGCCAGTACCAAATTGTCTTGATTACTGAGGCTTTATAGTAGAGCTTGAAGTAGAGGCACATAATTCCCCCAGCTTTGTTTTTCCTTCTCAGGATTGCTTTGGCTATTTGGGGTCTTTTGTGGTTCCATATGAATTTTAGAACTATTTGCTCTAGTTCGTTGGAGAATGCTGTTGGAATTTGGTAGGGATTACATTGAATCTGTAGATTGCTTTAGGCAGGATGGCCATTTTGAAAATACTAATTCTTTCTATCCATGAGCACAGGATGTATTTCCATTTATTGGTGTCTTCTTTAATTTCTCTCATGAGTGTCTTGTAGTTTTTAAGATCTAGGTCTTTCACTTCCTTGGTTAGGTTTATTCCTAGGTATTTGATTCTTTTTGATGCAATTGTGAATGGAATGTTTTCCTGATTTCTCTTTCTTCTAGTTCATCATTAGTATATAGGAATACAACAGAATTCTGTGTATTGAATTTGTATCCTGCAACTTTGCTGAATTCAGTTATTAGTTCTAGTAGTTTTGGAGTGGAGTCTTTAGGGTTTTTTATGTACCACATTATGTCATCTGCAAACAGTGACAGTTTAACTTCTTCCTTACCAGTCTGGATGCCTTTTATTTTTTTGGGTTGTCTAACTGCTGTGGCTAGGACCTCCAGAACTATGTTGAATAAAAATGGGGAGAGTGGGCATCCTTGTCTTGTTCCCAATCTTAAAGGACAAGCTTTCAGCTTTTCGCTGTCAAGTATGATGTTGGCTGTGGGTTTGTCATATATGGCCGTTATTATGTTGAGGTACTTGCTCTCTATACCCATTTTGTTGAGAGTTTTTATCATGAATGGATGTTGAATTTTGTCAAGTGCTTTTTCAGCCTCTATTGAGATGACCATGTGCTTTTTGTCCTTTTTGTTGATGTGGTGGATGATGTTAATGGATTTTCAAATATTGTACCATCCTTGCATCCCTGGAATATATCCCACTTGATCATGATAGATTATCTTTTTTATGTATTTTTGAATTCAGTTTGCTAATATTTTGTTGAGTATTTTTGCATCTGTGTTCATCCGGGTTATTGGCCTGTAATTTTCCTTTTTTGTGGTGTCTTTGCCTGGTTTTGGTATTAGAGTAATGCTGGCTTCATAGTATGAGTTTGGGAGTATTCCCTCCTCTTCTACTTTTTGGAAAACTTTAAAGAGGATGGGTATTAGGTCTTCACCAAATGTTCAATAAAATTCAGCACTTAAGCCATCTGGTCCAGGGTTTTTGTTCTTAGGTAGTTTTTTTATTACCAGTTCAATGTCATTGCTGGTAATTGATCTGTTCAGATTTTTTGTTTCTTCCTGGTCAGCCTTGGAAGGTTGTATTTTTCTAGAAAGTTGTCCATTTCCTCTAAGTTATCTAGTTAGCATATGATTTTTCATAGTATTCTCTAATAATTCTTCCTATTTCTGTGGTTTCCGTAGTGATTTTTCCTCTTTCATTTTGGATTTTATGTTTGTACACTCTCTTTTTTCCTTGGTAAGTGTGGCTAAGTAAGGGTTTATCTATTTTGTTAATTTTCTCAAAGAAACAGCTCCTGGTTTCATTGATTTTTTTTCCTACTGTTTTTGTCTTCTTAATTTTATTTCTGCTCTGATCTTTTTTATGTCCCTCCTTCTACTGACTTTGAGCCTACTTTTTCTAGTTTCATTAATTGTGAGTTTAGTCTGTTTATTTGGGATTGTTCTTCTTTCTTGAGGTAGGCCTGTATTGCAATATACTTTCCTTTTAGCATGGCCTTCGCTGTGTCCCACAGATTTTGTGTTGTACAGTTGTTTTCATTTGTCTCCATATATTTCTTCATTTCTGTTTTTATTTGGTCATTGATAATGTTGATTATTTAGGAGCATGTTGTTAAGCCTCCATGTGTTTGTGGGATTTTTGTTTTCTTTGCATAATTTATTTCTAGTTCATACCTTTATGGTCTGAGAAGCTGGTTGGTACAATTTCAATTCTTCTGAATTTACTGAGGCTCTTTTTGTGGCCTAGTATGTGATCTATTCTGGAAGATGTTCCATGTGCACTTGAGAAAATATGTATCCTGTTGCTTTTGGGTGAAGTGTTCTGTAGATGTCTGTTGGTCCATCTGTTCTGTGTTGTTCAGTGCCTCTGTGTCCTTACTTATTTTCTGTTCGTTAATCTGTCCTTTGGAGTGAGTGGTGTGTTGAAATCTCCTAAAATGAATGCATTGCATTCTATTTCACCCTTTAATTCTGTTAGTATTTGTTTCACATAAGTAGGTGCTCCTGTGTTGGGTGTGTAGATACTTATAATGGTTATATCCTCTTACTGGACTAACCCCTTTATTATTATGTAATGTCCTTGTCTCTTGTTACTTTCTTTGTTTTGAAATCTGTTTTGTCTGATATAAGTACTGCAATTCCTGCTTTTTTTTTCTTGTTATTTGCATGAAATATCTTTTTCCATCCCTTCACTTTTAGTCTGTGCCTGTCTTTGGGTTTAAAATGAGTCTCTTTTAGGCAGCATATAAATGGGTCTTTTTTTTTTTAACCATTCTGCAACTATATCTTTTAATTGGTGCATTCAGTCCATTTACATTTAGAGTGATTATCAAGAGATGTGTACTTATTGCCATTGCAGGCTTTAGATTTGTGGTTACCAAAGGTTCAAGGGCAACTTCTTTACTATCTACCAATCTAACTTAACTCACTTATTACGCTATTTCAAACACAATCTAAAGGTTCTTCTTTTTTACTTCCCTTCTTTTTCTTTCTTCTCCACTCTTTATATATTAGGTGTCATATTCTGTACTCTTTGTTTATCCCTTGACTGATATTGAAGGTAGTTTATTTAATTTGGCATTTGCTTAGTAATTAATTGGTCTGCTTCCTTTACTGTGGTTTTATTTTCTCTGGTGACAGCTATTTAGCCTTAGAAGCACTTCCATCTATAGCAGTCCCTCCAGAATACACTGTAGAGACAGTTTGTGGAAGGTAAATTCCCTCAGCTTCTGCTTTTCTGGAAATTGTTTGGTTCCCTCCTTCAAATTTAAATGATAATCTTACCAGGTAGAGTATTCTTGGCTGGAGGCCCTTCTGCTTCATCGCATTAAACATATCATGCCGCTCCCTTCTGGCCTATGAGGTTTCTGCTGAGAAGTCTGATAGCCTGATTGGTTTTCCTTTGTATGTGATATTTTTTCTCTCTCTGGCTGCTTTTAATACTCTGTCCTTGTCCTTGATCTTTGCCATTTTAGTTATTGTATGTCTCTGTGTTGTCTTCCTTGGGTCCCTTATGTTGGGAGATCTGTGCACTTCCATGGCCTGAGATACTGTTTCCTAACCGAGATTGGGAAAGTTTTCAGCAATTACTTCCTCAAAGACACTTTCTATTCCTTTTTCTCTCTCTCCTTCTTCTGGTGCCCCTATAATGCGAATATTGTCCCATTTGGTTTGGTCACACAGTTCTCTTAATATTCTTTCATTTTTAGAGATCTTTGTTTTTCTCTCTGTGCCTCAGCTTCTTTGTATTCCTAATACAAAGGAATTCTCTAATTTCTATTTCATTTACCGTCTCCTCTACCTCATTTAATCTGCTTTTAAATTTCTCCATTGTGTGTTTCATTTCAGATACTGTATTTTTCAAAGCTTTTCTCTTTTCTGAAGTCCTTCCTGAGGTCCTGAATATTTTTCTGTAACTACATGAGCATGCTTATGATTTTTATTTTGAAATCTTTATCAAGAAGACTGATGATTTCAGTTTCACTTAAACATCTTTCTCATGTTTGAGGGATTTTGGTTTGTACCGTGTTCTTTTGGTCTTTCATATTCCTAATGATTACTACGGAATAATAACTCTGTGTACGCGGTGCCCTCTAGTGCCCAGAAGCTCTACTCTCTGGGGCTGCTCGGTCCCTGGAGTGATGGTAGGGGTCACAGGTGCATGGCACCAGTGCCTGCTGGGAGGAAAGAGCCCTTCTGTGCTTCCTGGCGGACCGTGCCTGCCTCCACTGCCAGGGCCAGCGGGCCGAATGTGCAGGGAGGAGCCTCTATGTTACCCCCTTGTAGCTTTCATAGGCTGGGCTGCCCTCTGGCTGGCCTGGCGTGATAGCGGGTGCAACAGGTTTGCGAGCCGGTGCTGGCTGGGAGGAAGGAGCAGCAGCCTGTGTATTGTGGTGGTGGGCCTTGGAGCTGTGTTGTCAGCCAGAGGGATGGAGCGCCTGAAGCTCCTGAAAGTTCCCAGCCTGCTGGGCTGAGTGCACCAGGACAATTTTGTCCACCTGTCCTTTCTCCTGAGCAGCAAGCTCTGTGTAATCCTTACCCCTTTAGCAGCCCTCTCGCTGTTGGGAAGTCTTTCAAAGCACTGACCTTTCTTTTGTCCTGGAGCAGCCTGTTCCCCACAAATGGCTGGAATCTCAGTCTCTCCAAGTATTATTCCTGTCTTTGCTTTCCAACCCCTCTAATCTCCTGAGCACCATGTAATGTGGATTCATGCTCCCAGAGTAGATCTCCAGGGGTGGGTATTTAGCAGTCTTGGGCTTCTACTCCCTCCCTGCTCCATTTCTCTTCCTCCCACTGGTGAGCTGGAGTGAGGGGAGGACTTGGGTCCCACTGGATCGCAGCTTTGCTACTTTATCCTTTCCTGTGAGTTCTTCTCCCTTCCCCAGATGTAGGCCGTCTGTTGCAGTCATCTTTCTCGGCACTTTTTCAGGATTAGTTGTATTTGCTGTATTTTCATGTTATATATGGTTTTGGGGAGAGTTTTCTGCCTCACTTCTCACACCTCCATCTTGTTTAATGCCTCATACATCATTTTTCTAAAAATATTATTATGTATTTTCTTTCTGTTTGCAAATGCATACATTCTCTGAATGTCTTTATCAGAACAAGTAGTCTGTTCAAAGTTAATAATCATTGATAATGGCTGTGGGTTCAGATGAGCCATTTGCTACTTGTTTTCCACTTGTGTCATTTTTGTTTTTCTTGTATTCCTCTGCAGCCTTCTTTTGTGTTACTTTTAGTATATCATTTGATTCCTCTGTAGACATGTAGCTGTATTTCTCTGGATTCTTATTTGTAGTGATTCCCCTAGGGATTACAGCATGCATCTTTAATTTATCATGATATACTCAATATGGACTTCCATTAAAATATGAAAACCTCATGCCAGTATACAGCTGTTTCCTCCTGCTTGCCACATGTAAAACAGGGGGAAATGCTTTTTTTTGTCATATATATTACATCTGTGCATTATAAACCCAATAGTACAGTGTTACAAGTTTGTTTTAAACAGCCATATACATTTCAGAATAATTAGGAAAAGAAAAATATGTGATCTTTTATGTTTGTCCACGTTTACATTTCCCAGTTCTCTTTGGGCTTTCCTATGCCTGAGTTACTGTCTGGTGTCTTTTTCTTTTAGCCTAATGGATTTCTATTAGTATTTCTTGTTCTTTAGGTCTGCTGGTGACAGATTCCCTCTTTTTTGGTTTATCAAGGAAAATACTTCACTTTTATATTTGAAGGATAGTTTCACTGGGTATGGATTTCTTGGTTGACAGCAAGTTGTAAATCTCCCCAGACTTTGAATTCTTGTCAAACTCCCAAGGGCCTTCTGTAGTTGCTTGTGATTTATTACTGTGGCCCTTCTCAGACTCTCATTTCTGAAATCTCCTCTTTACACGATTGCTGTCCTGCTCCCAGCATCAAAGCTGTGAATTTTCACCACCTGAACTGGGGGATGGTAGGAGCGCCTCCAGGCAGGAAGGCCACTAACTCACCTGATGTGGTGAGAAAACATGCCTCAGGTTGTTGGCTGCCTTTGGTGTTTTTCATTGTCCAAAGTAGCTGTTTTTAATAATTTTTATCCAGTTTCTGACCACATACTGCCATTACCAGGAGTCCTCAATGTTTTAAATGCAAAACAAAATGCAGATTTACAAAGAACAGTTATCGACAGTTTTGAAATTGTGATCTGTTCATCTGTGTGCTTCTCCATGAAGACACAGAATAGCGAACTAGTTACAGGCCTCATACCATAATTCTGAAGTAGTGGTGAGCATAAACAAGCTCTCAAGATAGGTACAACTGTAAGGTGATGGGGAAGTGTTTATCTATGATAACTCGTGGAACTGCAAATGACTGTGACCTGCAAGCATTTGTAATTTAAGAAGTGCTCAGGTTTAGTTAAGGGCTAGTGAAAATAATGATTTTAATTTCCCCAAACAAACTCATAGACCATCTGAACTTCATCCAAGGCATCTGGACCCCAGATCAAGACCCCTGCCTCATGTTATGACTCTTGGGGCAGTGGGCATGAGACACGTGTGCTTGCCGAGGTGACAGTTCTGTTAGCTCCCTGCTCTCTCCAGTGTGTGTACAGAACTGGATGGAGGCTTCTACTCTGGTAACAGTTTATCTGTCTCTCTCCTGTGGTACTTACCCACACATTATAGTTTGAAGTTTTAAAAATCAAAAAGGAAGACTACTTATGTTGGGGACAGACTGTGTACATAGCACTCCTGTGGGTGACTGAGCTGTCGAATGCAGTTTTCATCATAAACTAAACGTTAAAGAGGGAAGTCCCCAAAACCCAGGTTTTTAATGTTATTTTAGCTTCTTGAGCAATGAAACTACATTATCAGAATATCTTTATATACATAGTTAAAATAAGCTGTGTGGTATATGACGTGGCTTTGTTAAGTTTTGCAGTTCTATTTGACTAAAAGTTACGAAGCCATGGAGTGGACCGGTGGTTTTGTGTGCTGTGTGCTCGGGCTTGGTAGTCATTCATTAGGTGAATCTCCCTCGTGCTTTCAGGTTACAGCAGTTGCACAGCAGAATCAGGGTGAGGTGCCCGAACCCCAGGACATGAAGGTAGCCGAGGTCCTCTTTGATGCTGCTGACGCAAACGCTATTGAGGAGGTAAACCTTGCGTACGAGAACGTCAAGGAAGTGGATGGGCTGGACGTTTCCAAAGAAGGCACGGAGGCTTGGGAGGCCGCCATGAAGAGATATGATGAGAGGATTGACAGGGTGGAGACTCGGATAACAGCTCGCCTTCGAGATCAGCTTGGCACGGCCAAGAACGCTAACGAGATGTTCAGGATTTTCTCCAGGTTCAACGCGCTGTTTGTCAGGCCTCACATCCGTGGGGCTATCCGTGAATACCAGACCCAGCTAATCCAGCGTGTGAAGGACGACATTGAGTCTCTTCACGACAAGTTCAAGGTCCAGTACCCACAGAGTCAGGCCTGCAAGATGAGCCATGTGCGCGACCTGCCGCCTGTGTCGGGGTCTATTATCTGGGCAAAACAGATTGACCGGCAGCTCACCGCCTATATGAAGCGTGTGGAGGACGTCCTTGGCAAGGGTTGGGAGAACCATGTGGAAGGGCAGAAGCTGAAGCAGGATGGAGATAGTTTCCGCATGAAGCTCAACACTCAAGAAATATTTGATGACTGGGCAAGGAAGGTGCAGCAGCGGAACCTCGGCGTCTCGGGGCGCATCTTCACCATTGAAAGTACTCGGGTTCGGGGTCGCACTGGGAATGTCCTTAAGCTAAAAGTTAACTTCCTTCCTGAGATTATTACACTTTCAAAAGAAGTTCGAAACCTGAAGTGGCTCGGTTTCCGGGTCCCGTTGGCGATTGTGAACAAAGCCCACCAAGCAAACCAGCTCTACCCGTTTGCCATCTCACTGATCGAAAGCGTCCGTACCTATGAACGCACCTGCGAGAAAGTAGAGGAGCGGAACACCATCTCCCTTCTGGTAGCTGGCCTGAAAAAGGAGGTGCAGGCCCTGATCGCTGAGGGCATTGCGCTGGTGTGGGAATCCTATAAACTCGACCCATATGTGCAGCGCTTGGCAGAGACTGTCTTCAACTTCCAAGAAAAGGTGTGTGCCATTTCAACAGCCCAAGTCCCAGGAATGAACTACACATAGTAATAGTCCAGTCAACACGTCAGTCCCCCGAGAAGGCTGGCGGGCTTGATACAGTGTGAGGCCACGGGCACTGAGCAGAGGAGCCGCTTTTCCTGCTGGGCTGTTCAGTCGTGTCAGTACTCTAGGGAGGCTGTTGAGTAACACCCAAGTTTAGAACCAGTGGAGAAACGAAGGGCCCATGAGAGCTTTGTTAAACTGCCAGAGCTGCCTGGAGATGGACCCTAGATTTGCAGTCGTGGCACATGTGGTCAATCCACACCTCGTGCTAGTGCAGCCAGACACTCGTGAGCCTCCTGGCCCTGAGCCGGCCACCACGAGCAGCCTGAAGTGATTCCCCTGTGTCTGGTGCACAGGACAGAGAGGGCAGCAAGCAGAGCACGCTTATCTCCTGCTCCCAGCTTACAAGCCAGAGGCTGCCCTGCTCCTGTGAGGAGCTGTGCTGGTGAGCGGGGAGAAGCTGATAGTGTCCATACGTTACCCTTCCCTCCGTGACAACCCAAGAGTGGGGAAAGTGTTCTCACACCAACAGTAGGATTAGCTGCTTCTGGAAGTACTTCCCTGCCTTGAACATTTGTTAATTGAGAAGAATGTACATAAAAAGTAATGGGATGGAGTGAGTGGGTGTTCAAAGTATTGTCAGCGCTTGGCAGAGACTGTCTTCAACTTCCAAGAAAAGGTGTGTGCCATTTCAACAGCCCAAGTCCCAGGAATGAACTACACATAGTAATAGTCCAGTCAACACGTCAGTCCCCCGAGAAGGCTGGCGGGCTTGATACAGTGTGAGGCCACGGGCACTGAGCAGAGGAGCCGCTTTTCCTGCTGGGCTGTTCAGTCGTGTCAGTACTCTAGGGAGGCTGTTGAGTAACACCCAAGTTTAGAACCAGTGGAGAAACGAAGGGCCCATGAGAGCTTTGTTAAACTGCCAGAGCTGCCTGGAGATGGACCCTAGATTTGCAGTCGTGGCACATGTGGTCAATCCACACCTCGTGCTAGTGCAGCCAGACACTCGTGAGCCTCCTGGCCCTGAGCCGGCCACCACGAGCAGCCTGAAGTGATTCCCCTGTGTCTGGTGCACAGGACAGAGAGGGCAGCAAGCAGAGCACGCTTATCTCCTGCTCCCAGCTTACAAGCCAGAGGCTGCCCTGCTCCTGTGAGGAGCTGTGCTGGTGAGCGGGGAGAAGCTGATAGTGTCCATACGTTACCCTTCCCTCCGTGACAACCCAAGAGTGGGGAAAGTGTTCTCACACCAACAGTAGGATTAGCTGCTTCTGGAAGTACTTCCCTGCCTTGAACATTTGTTAATTGAGAAGAATGTACATAAAAAGTAATGGGATGGAGTGAGTGGGTGTTCAAAGTATTGAATATACCTTCCTTTAGGTGGATGATCTGCTGACCATTGAAGAAAAGATAGACCTTGAAGTCCGTTCCCTGGAAACATGTATGTATGATCATAAAACTTTCTCAGAGATCTTGAACAGAGTCCAGAAAGCCGTGGATGACTTAAATCTGCACTCCTATTCCAACCTGCCCATCTGGGTCAACAAGCTTGATATGGAGGTAAGGAATGGGGTTTGTTTCAGTGTTTTCATTTTTCTACTGTCTACATGGGAGTGGACCCTGTTGCATACATTTATCAGTGTGTCACTGAAAGGCGGTTTTCCACGGAAATTACCAGTGGCTCCTCCCAAATTCCATGTGATTGATGGTAGAGATGGACTGCATGATGCTAGCACCAGCCTGGGGGCAGGAGGCTGTGAGGAAGGAGAGCAAGGGCTCTATTTTCTGGATGCTTGACAGCCTCCTTGCCCTTCCCTGCTCCTCTAGTAACTCCCATTTTCCCCTCCTGGCCCTTCCCCCAGGCCCTTCTCTGACCACCCTGCCCCCCTCCACCAGCCAAATTAAAAAGACATACCCGGCAGCAAACTACCTCCCACTCCTGCTGTAGAGATTCGGGGCTCATCCCTGTAGAGGGCTGGGGCGGGGGGAGGCGCACGTGCCTGTGCCCCAGCACGTGTGTGTTGGGAGACCTGTCACCACCCATATGGCTTTCTCTGGTGAGCATCAGAGAGTACGTCAGTGAAGAGTCTGGAGAAGGGGTGTGTGTTAGGGCAGAAGTCACTCAGTGGACAGGTGGTGGCCGGTCAGTTCTGAGTAGTTTACCGTTCATAGGTTTTCACTTTCTTTCTCTTTTAAGATGGATAAGTAGGTACCCACACAGTGGGGCCCTAACAGGGGATGTTAACAGCCTCATTCTGCTGACTGTACTGAAAGCCCCTGGTTTTTCTCACATCCATGCATTCCCAGGGTGGTTGTGTGGCCCAAGGCAGGCTCTTCACAAATGCGCACAGATACCCTATTTGTAGGAAATCTCCTTGCCTCATTCTAGATGAGAGAGATTTTCTTCCTGTTAGAGAATGTCAAAAAGTCTGGTGACGGATGTTAAGTAGACTTACTGTGGTGGTCATTTTGCAACATATATATACCTTGAATCAGTATATTGTACACCTAAACTATTACAATGTTATATGTCAATTATACTCCAGTTAAAAAGAAGAGAACAGTTTCACCTCCAGATTATAGTGTTTCTAGTTTTATCTCTGAGGCTGCCAGGAAAATGCTTTTGTAGAGTTTCCATTACATTGAACAGATACTGAGCCATTAACTGAATCTGCTGATTTGTTAGTCTCCTTATCACTTAAAGGTCAGGAAGTTGGGGATTCACTTAGTCCCCAGACAGACAAGTTGTGTGTGGCTGGGAGAGTGTCAGGAGTGAGGCTCAGGGTCAGTGAGATGAAGGTTGTAATTAGAAGCGATTTACCTTTCACCAAAAACTACTGGCTTTCTATTCAATGGGCCCTGGGAGCTGACTTTAGAAGACACACTGTTCCTTGACACTTTCTCTGTAGATTGAAAGAATATTGGGTGTTCGCCTTCAAGCTGGCCTGAGAGCTTGGACCCAGGTGCTTCTTGGACAAGCTGAAGATAAGGCAGAAGTTGATATGGATACAGATGCGCCGCAAGTTAGTCACAAGCCTGGTGGAGAGCCAAAGATCAAAGTGAGTATTTCCCATGGCATCTGAACAAAGCAAGTTCCTCCCCTTAAATAGTACTATGAGAGGAGACATAAGAGACACCACCTGCCGCCCCAGATGATTGAAGTCCTCCTCGCCAGTGATGTTGCATGAGTGTCGTAGACTAAAGTCAGTGTTTGGTTAGCTAAGAAATGGGAATTTCTTAGTGTCAGTAATTGTAGCACATTAAATGTTAATGTCGGAAGAAGGGTATATGGAAACTCTTCTTACTTTCTTTGCCACTCTCCTGTAAGTCTAAAGTAATTTCAAAAATAGAGGTCTTTAAAAATGGAAAAGAATTTTTAGTAAAAATCTACACTGGAAAAATATCTTGTTTTCCAAGCATACATGCAAGAGGTCATTTCAGGAACTGAGTATAATCTGCTACTTGTGAAAGTTTGGACCGTGACCCTAAAACATCATGTTTCACAGAAATCTAAATCAGAGTCTCGTGGAAGAGTGCAGTGGCACAGTGGTCCCCACATTGGTTCTTGTCTCTAAGTCACCTGTTTCCCATTTGTGTGAAGGAGTGCTCAGCGGGAGCCTTGCAAGCTTTCTAGAAATTTCTATTAACTGCAAACACATTCTGTCTCCTGATGTGGGTGTAGGTTACAGTGGTGTCCACTTTACAGAAATTCACTAAGCCATGCATTTGTTTTATATATCTCACTATATTCGTGTTACTGCCAATAAAATGTTTTCACAGGACAGAAGCCTAAAAGAACTGCAGGTAAAAACTTTGATCTGAGAGAAATAATTGGCCTGTTTTTTTTTCTACCCAGATTTTACCATGTCATTTTTTTTCTCTTAGTGCTTGAAATATGTTTTCATTTTTCAATATAAAGCTATTTATTCCCAGAGCATACTTTTTACAATACTGAGGTGCAGAAAGTAAATGAGTATCTAAATTGATATAATTATCTGGTGGAGATTGAGTTGAAATTCTTGATTAACGTGCATCAGCCAGCATGTGCCCGACAGCTACTGCCAGCTTTGTGTCACTGCATTAGCGGCACTGGCTTCTCTGCTCACATCCACTATGTTGAAAGGTCGTCCTGTGCTTCAAGTCAGACTCTGTTGAGCACCTGTTCTGTGTTCAACACCCAGGCACAGGGAACCCAGGTGAAGCCCGAGCAGTGCCTGACTCTGGCTCTTCTAGTCCTCTGGGGGGGCCACAGACCACAGACATAGAATTGAAAAAGGCTGTGTCTAATAGTAAAGTAACAAACCTTGTGGTTCAGACTGAAGTAGTTTAGTAATGTAGAGGGAACAAGTGTTAGGCACCAAAACCATTTTATATCAAGACTCTTACTGAAATAGATTGCTGATTGACAACTGAAATCTTTCTTTTACAGAATGTCGTTCATGAGCTAAGAATAACCAATCAGGTCATCTATTTGAACCCTCCCATTGAGGAGTGCAGGTACAAGCTGTACCAGGAAATGTTCGCCTGGAAGATGGTCGTGCTCTCTCTCCCCAGGATCCAGAGCCAGAGGTACCAGGTGAGCCTTCTGACCCAGCTTCTCCCAGGGCTCTGTGATACCACCTGTCCACTGGGCCTCTTCACATATAGCCCTTGACGGGCCTTTTCAAACTCCAGGCTGCAGGCTGGGCATTCGGAGGGAAAGCTGGAGGAAGCTTTGTGTGACCTGACACTTCTTTCCAATAGTTACTTACCTTTTCAAATGGTTACAGTTGCACTCTGATCTCAATAATGTCTTAGAAATCCCCTCCATGAATTTCTTTGGGAGTTTTAATTCCTACTTTCCCCCCCACTCTTTATTATGGAAGCTTGCAAACACACACCAAAGTAGAGGGACTCTCATGAGCTCACACCACCCAGCTTTATCATCATGTGGTCGATTTTGTTTCATTTATATTCCATTCCCCACTTCTTACCACTAGATTATTTTAAAGCAAATCCCAGATATAATATACTCTTATTAATATGCTTCTAACACCAAAGGAAAACTCAAGATTGTTTGGTCCCTGACCTCTGGGCAATATTATAAACAGGACCAGCGGCTTTCAAATAAACATATTCCCACAACCTCTGTTGTAACAGGCTCTTCTAGAAAGTCTTACACTGTGAACATAAGCTCAGTTCTTTTCCAGGGTTCTGGAGGCAGCAGCCACGCATGGACTTGGGGTCATGGTGGCGCTGGACCCCAGGCCCGCCCTGGCGGCGGATCCGAGCCGAGCTGAGGCCCGGTCCCTGCACCTCGAGAAGTCTGTGGTCTTCGTGGTATCTCTTGTCATAGTTCTGCTTTTAACAGGCGTCGTTGGCTGCTTGTGTGGTCACCTTGTTTCTCTCCAAATTTAATGAGCTGACCAGCCTCTCCTCTTGTGTCCCGGATCCCGTTTCCTCTCGCCTGTCGCCCAGCGATTCCCTCTTCCTGTCAGCAAATAAACTTGCTCTGTTCCCCTCCAGCCATATCTTTCTTCCACTGCTACCAGCTGTCCAAGGTACCGGCATCCCTGCTTAGATTATTAAAGTTCCCTCCTGACCTGTCTCAGCATCCGGCTTTGCTCCCCTAAAATCTTTTTTCAACATGGCAGCCCACGTAAATCTGTAATTGTGTGTCGATGCTGACACTGCTCCCCCCAGAGCCCGTCATGGCTCCCTGTCTTACTCAGCATCAATGCCCACGCCCCACACTGCTGGCCGGACCCCATGTCATGTGCAGCTGCTCCCCGCACTGGCCCTGCTCTGGCCACACCAATCTTGCTCTCCTCGGATACGCCAGGCCAACCTGCCCCTGGGCCGTGGCACTTGCTGATCTCCCTGCTCCGAATCCCGGTCCCTAGTGAATCATTCACGAGGCTCACTCCCCTCCTCCTGTTCTCTGCTCAAATGTCACCTCCTCAGTGAGGCCTCCTTGGCCTCCCTATTTAAAATACAGCCTGCCCCCACCCCACACTCCCTGCTGCCTTTGCTGCTTTTTCTCCTCAGTACTTCTCACCGTCTAAATTTCTATTTTCCTTTTCCCTGAATTGACCCTTTCCTCCCACAGAATGTAAATCTGGGTGAACAGAGATTTTTGCCTCTTGTGTATTGTACCTGCAGTAGAGCCAGGCATGTAGTAAGCACTCAACTTGTGAAATCAATGAGTGACTGTCGTCAGTTCCAGCCTCCACTCCTGAAAAGTATTTGGTCCTGGTTATCTCACATTCTCTTAGGCTCCACCCTTAGCACCCTGCTCGTAGCCGCCACAGGGTTCAGATCTCCAGGCCCCACCCAGCGCCACACCCCCGTTCCTCAGGCTCCTGCGCACTCTGTTCTCCTCTTATCTATTAGTGGCGCCACGTTTTCTAACCTGTGGTTGGTCTGATGTTCTTACTGGCGTAGTGAGTTAAATATGAGTAGGCTTTGGTCACTTGTGGCTGGGGTAAGTGGATGTTACCCCTTAAATGCCATCTTTATCACAAGCTAGTCTTTTCAGTTCATTTTTAATTAAGTAAAAGGTGGCTCTGAGTTTAACTACCTGTGTTCATTTCTGGCTTTGTTTGACTAGGTGGGTGTACATTACGAACTGACTGAAGAAGAGAAATTCTATCGGAATGCTCTAACACGGATGCCTGATGGCCCCGTTGCCCTGGAAGAGTCCTATTCTGCAGTCATGGGCATCGTAACTGAAGTCGAGCAGTATGTCAAGGTGAGAAGCCCCTGATTTCATTCAAATATATTGTATAGCCTCTTTTAAATGCTTATGCGTATGAGATATGATGAATGTGGAGCTAAAAGATTTTGACTACATATATGACTTGCTTATTTTAAAGCAAAGAATGGACAGTGGGACAAATCTTTTGGGATATTAGTTATCACTTTGGAGAAAATGAATTTTATTTTTTAATGTGAAAATTCTGAGAATTTGAAGGGAGATTTTTCTAACAGTGATGAAAGAACATGACTCCTTTTAGTGGGATATGAGATCAAGCTGTGATGTTTAACTGTGTTCTTTATCTGTAGGTGTGGCTTCAGTATCAGTGCTTATGGGACATGCAAGCTGAAAACATCTATAACAGACTTGGGGAAGATCTCAACAAATGGCAAGCTCTCTTGGTTCAAATAAGGAAGGCCAGAGGAACTTTTGATAATGCGGAAACCAAGAAAGAGTTTGGACCTGTAGTTATAGATTACGGCAAGGTGCGCTCTGCCCTCTTGCTGGGAGGTGTTGAGGTAGCTGCTGAGGCAGCATCTCGGTGTGACTAAAATGAAGCCGAAGTGTAAGCGCTCCGGCGTGGCAGAGCTGACCATCACGTGCTCGTTCCCCTGCAGGTACAATCCAAGGTGAACTTGAAGTATGACTCTTGGCATAAAGAGGTTCTCAGCAAATTTGGGCAGATGCTTGGATCAAACATGACAGAATTCCATTCCCAGATCTCAAAGGTGAGAGGGCAGGGTTCTGCCAGCATGATGTGCCTGCTGTAGCCTGGGCTCTGTGTCCCATTTCCAGCCTCCACTCCTGAAAAGTATTTGGTCCTGGTTATCTCACATTCTCTTAGGCTCCACCCTTAGCACCCTGCTCGTAGCCGCCACAGGGTTCAGATCTCCAGGCCCCACCCAGCGCCACACCCCCGTTCCTCAGGCTCCTGCGCACTCTGTTCTCCTCTTATCTACTAGTGGCGCCACGTTTTCTAACCTGTGGTTGGTCTGATGTTCTTACTGGCGTAGTGAGTTAAATATGAGTAGGCTTTGGTCACTTGTGGCTGGGGTAAGTGGATGTTACCCCTTAAATGCCATCTTTATCACAAGCTAGTCTTTTCAGTTCATTTTTAATTAAGTAAAAGGTGGCTCTGAGTTTAACTACCTGTGTTCATTTCTGGCTTTGTTTGACTAGGTGGGTGTACATTACGAACTGACTGAAGAAGAGAAATTCTATCGGAATGCTCTAACACGGATGCCTGATGGCCCCGTTGCCCTGGAAGAGTCCTATTCTGCAGTCATGGGCATCGTAACTGAAGTCGAGCAGTATGTCAAGGTGAGAAGCCCCTGATTTCATTCAAATATATTGTATAGCCTCTTTTAAATGCTTATGCGTATGAGATATGATGAATGTGGAGCTAAAAGATTTTGACTACATATATGACTTGCTTATTTTAAAGCAAAGAATGGACAGTGAGACAAATCTTTTGGGATATTAGTTATCACTTTGGAGAAAATGAATTTTATTTTTTAATGTGAAAATTCTGAGAATTTGAAGGGAGATTTTTCTAACAGTGATGAAAGAACATGACTCCTTTTAGTGGGATATGAGATCAAGCTGTGATGTTTAACTGTGTTCTTTATCTGTAGGTGTGGCTTCAGTATCAGTGCTTATGGGACATGCAAGCTGAAAACATCTATAACAGACTTGGGGAAGATCTCAACAAATGGCAAGCTCTCTTGGTTCAAATAAGGAAGGCCAGAGGAACTTTTGATAATGCGGAAACCAAGAAAGAGTTTGGACCTGTAGTTATAGATTACGGCAAGGTGCGCTCTGCCCTCTTGCTGGGAGGTGTTGAGGTAGCTGCTGAGGCAGCATCTCGGTGTGACTAAAATGAAGCCGAAATGTAAGCGCTCCGGCGTGGCAGAGCTGACCATCACGTGCTCGTTCCCCTGCAGGTACAATCCAAGGTGAACTTGAAGTATGACTCTTGGCATAAAGAGGTTCTCAGCAAATTTGGGCAGATGCTTGGATCAAACATGACAGAATTCCATTCCCAGATCTCAAAGGTGAGAGGGCAGGGTTCTGCCAGCATGATGTGCCTGCTGTAGCCTGGGCTCTGTGTCCCAGTTCTGTGCTCTCCCTGAACAGTCTCGCCAGGAGCTGGAGCAGCACTCGGTGGACACGGCCAGCACCTCTGATGCCGTGACCTTCATCACCTACGTGCAGTCGTTGAAACGGAAGATCAAGCAGTTTGAGAAACAAGTCGAGGTGAGCTCTTTGGTTAGGTTCCCACCAGCAGCCCTTCAGGCAGTGCTTCTTCAGGACAGTCCGCAGAGACCCTCTCAATTGGAACCGCCTGACGTACTTGTTAAATACAGACACTGGCACCCTGGGAATTTGCATTTTGAAAAGCTTGATGTACTAAAAACATCAAGGTTTGAGAAATATTTTTTGTCTTTTAAAGTCTTTTAGTTGTTGATCTTCAAATCATCAAACTGGAATCTCCATTTTAGAGCCTGGGCAAAGGGCTGAAGCGCAGCTCCCCCTGATTTAGAGCCCTGCAGCTGTGTGCAATAACGGGGCCAGGCAGGCCCTTGGGGTGGAGAGGAGTAGGCATGTTGACGGCAGAGGATCTTCTTCTCTGCCTGGGAAGCTGACATTGATTTATGTCATTGTACTACAAGAAAAACCACTCATTTTATTTTTAACTCTGAAAGCTCTATCGCAATGGTCAGCGCTTGCTGGAGAAGCAGAGGTTCCAGTTCCCTCCGTCCTGGCTCTATATTGACAACATCGAGGGGGAGTGGGGGGCCTTCAACGACATCATGCGGCGGAAGGACTCTGCCATTCAGCAGCAGGTGGCCAACCTGCAAATGAAGATCGTCCAGGAGGACCGGGCCGTGGAAAGTCGCACCACTGACCTGCTGACAGACTGGGAGAAAACCAAGCCTGTCACGGTGAGTCTCGCCCGCTGTGCTCAGAGTTTCTCCTGAACCAAGGTGTGATCAGGTGTCTTTCCTCCCAGACTTGGAGGGCCTCGCCGTGGCTTAGCTGTGCAGTGATGAGAGCTTTTCCTTCTGTAATCAGCAGATGGTAGGTTTGTAAATACAAAAGCCGCCTTGGACCTCTTTTACCCAGAGCCCCTTATGACAGTCATTGAAGTCAGGAGATGGTTTCACAGATTAAAGTTTTTCTGTTCTTACACACTTTGTGTTACCTTGGCATTCTCAAAAGTGAGAGTTTACTGTGTGGTGGACACAGGCTGAGCTCTGGGCTGTGGCGGAGCAGCTGCTGCTGTCCTGGGCCTCTAGGTGTCAGGCCTCTCTGCACCCACACACCCCCGGCTCTCTCGGTCTGCTCAGCTGTTCATGAGCCCAGCTGTGTTGTAGGCAGTGGGGGTATGCGGTGAGCAGAAGAGACAGGAGCCCCTACCCTCGTGGAGTCAGCTGCAGTGGGAGAGACAGATGATAGAAAACGAACAAGGAAAATGTGTGTTTTGAGCAAGGTGGTGACATGCACTCAGGGAGGGGAGGGCCTGTTGGTGTGCTGCTGTGTCGGGTCCCAGCAGAGGGGGCAGGGAGCGCGAACACAAGCCATAGGGAGTGGCAGGCAGGTAAGCTGGCTTGGAGTGCACCCCTCATCCATTCAGACATGCATATGAATATAGGGAAGAAAAGGGGAAGGATGCAGAAATACTTGGAATGTCCGTCTGGCTTTCTAGTTTGGGATACAGGTTTTCCACGATAGCCCTGCTGGCAGACTGGCCTCCCGCCATCCACTGTCAGGCTTTGTCCTGCTCTCAGCCCTGTCTGTGCTGCGGGCCCAAATGTCCTACTTTGTGTTTAGTTTTGGTTCAAGGGCCCCTGTCCTATTTTAAGACCTCTGCTTTTACTAATGCCAGTACTGTAGGTCATGCAGAATGCTAGTCTAGCAGGGCAGTGAGTCTTGATCCGTAGGCAAGATTCTGATAACACAGTTTGAATATCTCTTATTGTATCACCTTGTTAGTAATACAGTATAATTCTAATTGATACTTTATAGTCATTCTCAAAAGTTACTAAATGGAAAGGAGGTGTGTAAATAATGTGTGAATGCTAAAGTAGAGGCCATTTCCAGCAAGATTGGTGCCTCAACGTCTTGCTCTGCTCTCGGTAACTGATGGAATAGCCGTGAACCTCAGGGAGGGTGTGCCTGGTAGTCCCCAAGAGCCACGTCTGCTCCGATCAGGGGTGTCCTGCTCCAGGCCCAAATCTGTCCTGACCCCTTTCTTCCCACCTCCCAAGGCACTTAGTGAGACAGTGGCTGAATGGAGAGGTGCTCCGCCTTTCTTAAACTTCTATTCATGGCAAATAACGGAAGTAGAAGGTATATCCAGCATTGTGCACAAATCATGAGCGTACATCTTGTGGAGTGTTCCATATATAGACACGTTCAGGGATCATCACCCCGGCGTCTCCATAGGCCCCTTCGCCCTCCCAGAGCCAGAGCCTTCACCTGCTCCAAGGCCTGGCACTGCGACAGTCTGCACTCTGACTGCTTTCAGGGCAATCTTCGCCCAGAGGAGGCACTTCAAGCTCTCACCATATATGAAGGAAAGTTCGGCCGGCTGAAGGATGACCGGGAGAAGTGTGCGAAGGCCAAGGAGGCGCTGGAGCTGACAGATACGGGACTTCTCAGCGGCAGTGAGGAGCGCGTCCAGGTAGGAGCTGCTCCCGTGGAAAGGGAGGAGCATGGCCCCTTGCCTGGACTCTGCCCCTGACCGGGGCCACCGGAGAGCCCTGCCGGGTGCCAAGGTAATTCTGTTTCCAAAGTTAAGTGCCTTATTCTGAATCACAGGTGGCCTTGGAAGAATTACAGGACCTCAAAGGTGTTTGGTCAGAACTCTCCAAGGTCTGGGAGCAGATTGACCAGATGAAGGAACAGCCGTGGGTTTCAGTACAGCCTCGCAAGGTATATAGTAAAATAGGTATTTCTGTATACCTTTATATATTGTGAGGTATAGACTTAGCTTAGAAACTGTGCAGACAAGGAAGTGTATATTGTGAGTGCACAGAATGTTGCTTAATGGTCATTTACAGTATTCATCCAAAATAATATGAAATTCTTTTAAATCATTTTTTAAAGTATTTCAACATTTAAAGGAATGTTTACAAACTAAATACCATCTTGTGTTTCTCTTGACAGCTTCGGCAAAATTTAGATGGCCTCTTGAATCAGCTGAAAAACTTCCCCGCGCGATTACGGCAGTATGCGTCCTATGAGTTCGTCCAGAGGCTCCTGAAAGGGTACCTGAAGGTAGGTGAGCCGGGGCTGCAGCCGGGGCTGTGTGCCCAGAACAGCTGCTTAGGTGACTGTGTCCTCTCGCTGCAGATAAACATGCTGGTGATCGAGCTGAAGTCCGAGGCGCTGAAAGATCGCCACTGGAAGCAGCTGATGAAGCGGCTCCATGTGAACTGGGTTGTTTCTGAGCTAACCCTTGGCCAGATCTGGGACGTTGACTTGCAGAGAAATGAAGCTGTCGTTAAGGACGTGCTGCTTGTGGCACAAGGAGAGATGGCTTTGGAGGAGTTCCTGAAGCAGGTGAGCCCGGACCAGCGGCTCCTTCCGTGTCATCTTGGGCCATGACGTGGATCTGGGCTGTATGGAAATAGAGCTTCATCTGTGGCCCTTGTTGTCCCCGTCACATTTAGTTATAGAACAGCGTGCATGGCCATGTGTTGAAAGTGTGCTTCTTTCTGGTGTCAATTCAGATAAGGGAAGTGTGGAACGCCTACGAATTAGACCTGGTCAACTATCAGAACAAGTGCCGCTTGATCCGTGGCTGGGATGACCTCTTCAATAAGGTCAAAGAGCACATCAACAGCGTGTCTGCTATGAAGCTCTCTCCGTATTACAAGGTACCAGTCGGGACTCCCTCCCTGACCAGAGAGCCCCTCACTTCCCTGCAGTGCCTTTTGACTGTCAGTTACCAGATGCCTGGTAAATACACAAGTAGACTGCCTCTTAATCTGCATTCGTTAGCAAGTTTTTGCATATCCATGAAAAGTTCAGCAGTTGGGCTCTGCCTTCCATCTACCCTCTAGGTCTTCGAAGAGGATGCTCTGAGCTGGGAAGACAAACTGAACCGCATCATGGCTCTCTTTGACGTGTGGATCGACGTGCAGAGGCGGTGGGTCTACCTGGAAGGCATCTTCACAGGCAGTGCAGATATCAAGCACCTGCTGCCGGTGGAAACCCAGCGGTTCCAGAGGTATGGCCTCTAGCCCTGGAACAGCAGAGCTGAAGGTGTTGTGGCTAGAACCACTGTTTACTTAAAGGCTAACAATGGTTCTATTTTGATTTGTAGTATCAGCACAGAGTTTTTGGCTCTAATGAAAAAAGTATCCAAATCTCCCCTTGTTATGGATGTTCTGAACATCCAGGGGGTACAGAGATCTCTGGAGAGATTGGCCGACCTGCTAGGAAAGATCCAGAAAGCACTGGGAGAGTACCTGGAAAGAGAGCGATCATCTTTTCCCAGGTAAGACAGCATTTGACTTGTACGAGAGTGAAATTCAATTTCAGTTATGCTTGCTTCCAGCCCTCTTCTCTGCCCTGGCCTGTTTGTTGATCACTTGATACCAAGGGTTTTGTTACCAGTAATCCATTTAACAAATGCTATTTCCCTTTTGTGCAGTGATTCCTAATTATAGCAAACAATCCTTGATTTTCTAACTTGGATTTGTTCATTAAACTTCATTTAAACTGTCACCCACTCTCCTAAACAGCTTGTCTTTCTTAACCTGTAGCTTCTGATTGTCTTCTGGCATCTCTTCCTCTCTGTTTAGTTTGCATGGTGTAAATCAAACAGGCTTAAAAAAAAATAAATTCATGAAGTGAGGTGAATGATATGAAATCCATTGCCGTCGTCTTTGGTGGCCTGGTAGGGAGTAAGCGTGTGTGTTTGCCGAGGCCTGGAGGAAGTCTGGACGTGGGCTGGAGTCAGGTTGCAGACAGCCCACCGTCATCCACACCACTTCCCCATAATTTGGATTTTTGCTGTGGTTCACCTTGTGTATATGTAACATTTTAGCAACTTGAGTACTATTTTAATCTTAGGTTCTATTTTGTGGGTGATGAAGATTTGCTTGAAATCATTGGAAACAGCAAGAATGTAGCCAAGTTACAGAAACATTTCAAGAAAATGTTTGCCGGAGTCTCAAGCATTATCCTAAACGAGGATAACTCCGTTGTCCTGGGCATCTCGTCCCGTGAAGGAGAGGAGGTACTCACGTTCATGACTGCCTCCGGGAGCTTCTCTCCTCTTCTTGTGTATCGTAATTCTTGACTTTTATGTATTTCAGGTTATATTTAAAACTCCAGTGTCCATTACTGAACATCCCAAAATCAATGAGTGGCTCACACTGGTGGAAAAGGAGATGAGGGTCACCCTGGCTAAGCTTCTTGCTGAGTCGGTTACAGAAGTTGAGATTTTTGGTAAAGCAACTTCAATCGACCCAAATACCTACATCACTTGGATTGATAAATACCAGGTAACACACAGTAGAAATGAGACGGTCTAAAAGTGGCTGCACTGACTGGTCTTTAGAACAGCCCCTTGGGATCTGCGTATTGTGTCTTTCAGGCCCAGCTTGTGGTTTTGTCAGCCCAGATAGCCTGGTCTGAAAACGTGGAGATGGCTCTGAGCAGCAGTGGTGGGAGTGGCGACGCGGCACCCTTGCCCTCTGTGCTGAGCAACGTGGAGGTCACGCTCAATGTGTTGGCCGACTCTGTCCTCATGGAGCAACCCCCGCTCCGAAGACGGAAGCTGGAGCACTTGGTTGGTCCCATTCTGGCTCATTCCTCGCCATTAGGCTCTTGTGCCTTCAACTCAGGCAGTTAAAGGAAATCATGCTTGAAAAATATTCCGATTGGCATTAGGGAAAAAGATGGCATATTGCTCTATGGTGGGTGGGCATTTGGCTCTCTGTTCCTGTTGAAACAGTCTCTGGAGCACAGGTGTTACCTACATGACATCCTGTAGGAAGGAAGGGATGAGCTCTGGTCAGAGCCGCGTCACTCTCTCCTCATCTCCTCTGCAAGGAGTGCCGGGGCAGGCCCGGAGGCCTGGGTGAGCTTGGCACCCCGAGCCAGGCCTGCGTGCAGAGTGCAGGATGCAGACGGGATGGGGTGGCTCTCGTCCCTTTTGACACGAGCTGCAGTTTTTACTTGGAGTGAGGTGCTTTCGTTGTTGTGTGTTTGTGCCGCAGCTCTTAATTCCTCTGCGTGAATGACAGCTTTGTTGTTTCTGTAAGTGTGTTTGTGTCTTGTAATATTTGCCAGAAGACGCTGTACTCAGTTTCCAATCTCAATTGAAAAGCCCACTAAATCTCCCACACACCCAGGGAGTGTACTGCATCACGTCACTCAGTGATAGACCCTAAAAGTGACTCTCTCTTCAGATCACAGAGCTGGTCCACCAGAGAGATGTCACCAGGTCCTTGATCAAAAGCAAGGTGGACAACGCCAAGTCTTTTGAATGGCTCAGCCAGATGCGATTTTACTTTGACCCTAAGCAAACGGATGTGCTACAGCAGTTGTCAATCCAAATGGCAAATGCCAAATTTAACTACGGCTTCGAGTACCTGGGTGTTCAGGACAAGCTGGTGCAGACCCCCCTCACCGACCGCTGCTATTTGACCATGACACAAGCATTGGAGGCCAGGCTGGGGGGGTCCCCATTCGGTGAGTCACTCCACAGGCCCAGGCAGATGGAGCAGGGAGTTACCATGGTTTCTAAAGATTAAGAGAAGCGTTTAAATATATTTCCTATATTGTACATGTACATTCTAAAACCTTAAATTTGTTTGCTGTTAGTACATGTACATTGATTTTTTTAAGTGAATTGCTTTGTACACTTCTTTTGAAGCTAAGGTATATTCTGTTGAGTAATGGACTCAGATACTATATTACATTTTTCTTCAAATAACAGGGCCTGCGGGAACTGGGAAGACCGAGTCCGTCAAAGCCCTTGGCCACCAGCTTGGACGCTTCGTTTTGGTTTTCAACTGTGATGAAACCTTTGATTTCCAGGTAAGAAATTTTGTGAATCCACCTGAAATCTATGGCTTGAGAGGTCAGTTCATACCAGGCTTGTTCCTCTCGCAAAGCCACTGCTTTATAGCTCCGCACGGCTCATCTGGCCCTCGGAGTCCTGGGAACAGGAGTCTTGAGCTCCCTGAGGTATCAGACATACGAGCTTTGACTTTAGCTTCATGTTTTCCAAGTTAACTCTTTTGTGTAACTTGCCGCTTTTATGGAAGGGCAATTTCTTCGTGAAATGGTTAGTGCATTTGTCTTGGAATAAACAAATATTATGGAAAAGCTTTCCTTAATGAACAAAAGTGACAGAACAAAAATAACAGCCTTGTCATTAAGATGTTATTGGCCCAAAAGGAAAAAGGTATGGTGCGCTGCATGTGTGTGCTGGCCCTCGCTATTGTTCATGAAGTATGAGTAGGCATCGGCCCCTGCCCCATCTCTGACACCAAATGAGATGGTGTGATTTTCTCCACGTATGTGTATAATAGTAACAATATTATACCCAGCAGTGAGAGCAGTGTAACTCCATTCGAGGTCCCGGACCCGATTCCAATGTGTGCAAGTATGTGGGAGGGGGTCTTCCCACACATACTAACACCAAGCAGTTCTCGAATGCCAGCAGGGTGTCTGAGAACTCAACTCAGTCCTGACGGTGTCTGCCCGGAGACAGCAGCAGATGCCCAGGTTAAGGCTCCGTCCTGCAAGACTGCCCTCCACCCCCCACTCCAGATGCTGGTCGCAAGCCCAGGCAGTTCCCGGTGCTTCTGACCTGCCAGCTACAGATTGACGGTTCCCACGACCTCCCCCTTAGGTTCTGTTAACTTGCTAGAGCAGCTCACAGAACTCAGGAAAACACTTAACGTTCACCAGTTTAACGAAGGATACTGTAAAGGACACAGGTCAACAGCCTGATGAAGAGAAACCCAGGGCAGGGTCCCAAGTAAAGGAGCGTCTGTCCTCGTGGAGCTCGGGGCCTGGCACATGGAGGCGTTGTGGTTCCCAAGCATAGAAGCTCTCCGACCCAGAGGCAGAATCCAGTGGCAGAGAGCAGGCAGAGAGAGAGAGAGAGAAAGAGAGAGAGAGAGAGAGAGAGAGCGAGAGCGAGCGCCAGAGCGAGCCTCTGGGTCGGGGGTTTGTGAGTTCTTCATTGCGCAGTCATGACTGACAATTATCGGCCAGTGGCTGATCGGCCTCCAGCCCTGGCCTTGATTGGGAGTCCAAAAGCTCATTCACGTGACAGAATACCCGGTTCACCTTTAAGACTGCAGTGTTTTCAGGAACTGTGGACGAAGACCAAATATAGCTTGGAAATGTATGTTTGGTCGTTTTTATGAGCAAATATGTATTTCTTATAACTCACTGTGACACAGCCCCTCACTGGTATGCATCTGATTTCACCTTCATGTCCACGGGGCAGGCAGTGTCAGTTTCCAGGTGGGATTTGCCCAAGTCGGATAGATGGACCAGGATTTGGGCCCGTTTGAGTTGGCGCCGGAGCAGATGGTTTTAGCTTCTTTCTTTGGGTTTCAGGCAATGGGCCGCATCTTTGTGGGGCTTTGCCAAGTGGGCGCGTGGGGCTGCTTTGACGAGTTCAACCGCCTGGAGGAGCGCATGCTCTCGGCCGTGTCCCAGCAGGTGCAGTGCATCCAGGAGGCGCTGCGCGAGCACTCCAACCCCAGCTGTGACAAGCGTGAGCCTTCTCTTTTTCTTCCACAGACACTTAAGTAGAGGGAGAAAACACAGTGGACGAGCTGCCACCTCTTTGATGAGAAATAGTGGGAGTTTATAATTTGGTCCCCGGGACTCACTGTGGAAGGCAGGGTGGTTAGTCCTGGTGACGTGGGAAGGTGAGTGAGACCCGGGATAACCCTGCACTGGCAGTTTGCAACCTTCGTCCCAGAGCCAGCCTTCCTCTGGTGGGCGGGAGGCCTGTGCTCCTTTCACGGCATCTGCCCGCAGTGAGTGTGGCCAGTGTGGGCCTCTATGCTCCCCCTTGCTCCCTGAGTCCCTGCAGAGCCAGCTCCCCATGTTCCACCAGGGAGCCTTGGGAATGAGCCCTCTGTCACAAGGAGTAGCTGTTCTGAGAGGTTCACACCAGTTGAAGCCCAGGCGTGTGGTGCGGAGGTGGCATGGGTGCTGAGGGAAGTGAGCGCATTGATGCTGAGGTTTATGCTGTGGTGTAGCTTCTCGTGTTTTCTTTTATTCCATAGTAATAGGCCCTTGTCTAACTGAACAACTTGCCAGACCGCCAAAGTAGAATAAAAGGAGTTTCTAGGAAAGCAGTAGCTGGGAGCCTGACACTGTCTGGTGGGGAGTGAATGCACTTTGTCCCCGAGTAGTTCAGTGTGATGGGGCTTTGTGCCAGTGCTGGGAAAGCACAGTTCTCGGGAGCTGAGCCGGTGGGCCGGGCTGCAGTGACTGATTTCTGTTCTGCGACTGTGGGTGGACTGTACTTTAGTCTTGCACTGGCCCTGTGACCCACAGCAGTGCCCGGGTAGATCGTGGGCTTCTGCTGCTGCTGATATCACGTGGCTCCTGTGTCAGTGAGGTGTGTGAGAATGGGCTTCTCAGGCAGGGCAGACATGCCTGCAGAAAGTCCAGTGATCGGCTACCTGGGAAATGAGTGCTTTGTCTGTAGTTTGGGGAGTTTGGGAATGTTTTTTAACATGAGTCTTAACGCCATCATCTGGTTTTCAGCCTCTGCCCCCATCACTTGTGAGCTGTTGAATAAACAAGTCAAGGTGAGCCCAGACATGGCTGTCTTCATCACCATGAACCCTGGCTACGCGGGCAGGTCAAACCTTCCAGACAACTTGAAGAAGCTGTTCCGGAGCCTGGCCATGACCAAGCCCGACCGGCAGCTGATCGCCCAGGTCATGCTGTATTCTCAGGGCTTCCGCACTGCCGAAATTCTTGCCAACAAGATTGTTCCCTTCTTCAAGTGAGTAACTTAGGGTTATTCACAGTTATGTCTCAGTGTATTTTAAATGTGCCCATCTTAAGTTTATCTCAGTCATTATGGCACTTCTTTCAGAGTTTCCACCTTTGATTCTTGACATCTGACCCCGCTGTTGCTTCATGAACTGTCGTTAACGAAAACCCTTCCTTTTTCAGACTGTGTGATGAGCAGCTCTCTTCTCAGAGCCATTATGACTTTGGTCTCCGGGCTTTGAAGAGCGTGCTGGTAAGTGCAGGGAATGTGAAGAGAGAGAGAATTCAGAAGATAAAGAGGGAGAAAGAAGAACGAGGTGAAGTAGTTGATGAAGGCGAAATCGCAGAGAATCTGCCCGAACAAGAGGTGTGTTCAGATGCTCTGTTAATCCCTCAAACTTTAACCACTGTATGAACTTATCTTCTCAAGGTGTGAGGCCCACTTGGGGCTCTCAGTGTGATCTGCATGTCCTGGCCTGGGTGGACCTGAGTGGGTGGGGTGTGCTGGGTCTCCAGCAGCTGTGTCCTCCGCACCTTTGGGTGATGCAGCAGGAACACGCGAGCTGGGTTCCCTGCTGCACGGGGGGCTCAGCCCTTTTCTCCTGTGTAGATTCTGATACAGAGCGTCTGTGAGACGATGGTGCCGAAGCTCGTGGCGGAAGACATCCCGCTGCTCTTCAGCCTCCTGTCGGACGTGTTCCCCGGAGTCCAGTACCACCGCGGGGAGATGACTGCACTCCGCGAGGAGCTGAAGAAAGTGTGTCAGGAGATGTATCTGACCTACGGGGATGGAGAGGAAGTCGGCGGGATGTGGGTTGAAAAGGTAACTGGATTGTAGAGGCCAGGGAGGCACATCGTCTGGTTTATGAGATTTGCCTCAAGGCCTGTCTGGTTTTTTTCTTAACTTAAATGTAGAGATAACAAAACTTACCTAAAAATTTCACTTTACATGAAATAGTCATTCCCTAAGGAGTGATGATAATGGAAGATGTTCATGTCAGCGGAAGGCTTGTTTAAAAGACTTTCTAGTACCGTAGATTCACAACACAAGTCTGCTCATTGATACATGATTTACATTCTGCACTGGCTTCTTTCCTTCCCCTAAGGATGAGAAAAAGTCTGTTATTTATACAGGCTGTGTGCTGAGCCTGAGAGGGGCCGCCCTGGGTTAAGTAAACAGCTCACGTCTTCCCTCCTTGGAGGTGATGTTACGTGTCTTTCTGAGGCAGCTTGGTGGGATCTCACGTTCTGCCAGCTCCTAGCCTTCCTGGTTTGTCGAATGACTCCCACAACTGAGTGAGAAGGACTTTACTACTTCAGATAGTTGTAGATGTGTCCTGTGCAGGGTCTGCCTGGTAAACACTTAAGTGCCTGCCCCTGGGAATCCACACATCTCCCGTAGTCATGGGAAGTGGCTGGGGAGCCTCGCTTGCTCTTTCTCTGGAATGGCCACCCTGCTGCTCCGCTCGGCCGGCAGGTTCTCCAGCTCTACCAGATCACCCAGATCAACCACGGCTTGATGATGGTGGGGCCCTCAGGAAGCGGGAAGAGCATGGCCTGGCGCGTGCTTCTGAAGGCTTTGGAGAGACTTGAGGGTGTGGAAGGTGTGGCCCACATCATCGACCCCAAGGCCATCAGCAAAGACCACCTCTACGGGACCCTGGACCCCAACACCAGGGAGTGGACAGATGGGCTGTTCACACATGTTCTGAGAAAGTAAGTTCACCTTGATGGTGTTTGCATCCCGATGGATGTGGGGCCTGGGTCCTTTGTCCTGTTCTGTAATAACAGCATACGGTATTTTTCCAACCAAAGTCTGAAGAGATTAAAAAGCCACTGAAGACACCATTATAGGGTGAGCATTTTTAATCTTAAAATCTTGAGTTAGCCAGCAACTGTTTTAAAACCCTTCCACACCAGGATCATAGACAACGTGAGAGGCGAGCTGCAGAAGCGCCAGTGGATCATCTTTGATGGAGACGTGGACCCCGAGTGGGTGGAGAACTTGAACTCGGTGCTGGATGACAATAAGCTCCTGACTCTGCCGAATGGAGAGCGCCTCAGCCTTCCACCCAACGTGAGTAGCCTGCCTTTATGTGTCCTGGGCTAACGAGTCTATTCTCACATCCACTTGCTAGCCAAGTACAGCCCTGCGGATAAGGGTCTGGGTTCCGCACAGTAGCGACCAGCTGTAAAACAATTTTCAGTGTTAGCCAGAGTCTCCGCACTAGGGTTTTCTATTCCTGAAGCTGGCAGATCCTGTCCTAGGATTTATTAATCTCTCCTCTGTTCATTGCATATTAAGTACACTCTGTAATTGTCACTTAACCCTCTCTACAGCCCTGCAATGTGGGGTGGGAGTTAGGATTTCTGAAGTTATTATGTATCTGGGAAGTGGCAAAGTAAGGGATTTAGACGTGGAAGCTTTCAAGGCTGTCGCTGGGAATGACTGGACCCCAGTCCTGAACACACCGCCAGGGAACGTGGGCCAGCCTGGCATGACTCTACATTTACACTTTGATAACAGTTTTGGAGTGTTACCGTGTGCCAGGCCCTGTTCTGGGTGAAGATACAGCAGTAAGCAAAATAGACAGAACCCATACTCTCTGGGCTTAGAGTCTGACAGGGAAGACAGACAGGGTGACAGTGCCAAGGAGAAAACACCGAAGACAGCGCTCACATAGGGGACAGGTGGAGGTCGCCATGCCAGAAAGGGTGGCACGGGCTTCCCTGAGACGGCGCTGCTTTCGGTAGCGGTTGAGGGGTGCGGGAGTGAGTCCTCGGCCGCAGGTGCTCCGGGCAGAGGGACGGCAGGGGAGCGGTCTGTGCCGGGGTGTGCAAGAACAGCAAAGGCACGGTTGGCTGACAGGGAGAGAAGTAGGAGAGGAAAGTCGAGGTGCAACCAGGGAGGACAGCCTGGCAGCCAGAGCAGTGCCCAGGTCACTGTGAGGGCTGGGGCTTGCCCACTTGGGTCAGGAGCCGTGGGCGAGTCTGAGTCTGGGTCAGGGGCGAGGGAACCTGTTTGCTTACAGGGGACCCCCGGCTGTTGTTTGGAGCATGGCTGAAGGGGGCAGGTGGAAGCAAGGGGCCACGTGGAGGCTGCATGGCACCCCGGGCCCAGCTGTTGGGGTGGGCTGCCCAGTCGGCAGCAGGGAGGTGCCGAGAAGTGGCTGAACTGTGAGAATAGTTTCACACTTGTGCCGGTGGGATTTGCTGGTGGGCCTGATGCGGTGTGAGAAAGGAGCCGGGTGCGACTCCAGAGTCTCGGCCTGAGCAGCTGGCGGTCGCGAGTCTGGACCGTGACGGGTCAGTGTTGGCAGTTCTCATCGCC